AAAAATAAAAAATTTCGAAATCTTTGTCCTTTTCCAGTTACGAAGGCGATAAAAAAAATCTTTGACATACTGTCGGACTAGGATGATATCTAAGAATTAGTCTTCTATCAAGAAATATATAAAATATAGGGAGATTTATTATTATATCAAATATATGAGCTCAAATTAGAAATAATAATAATAATAATAATTTTTAAAAAAAACTATATATGACATGAACTTTAGAAACAAATCCAAAGTTCATTTACAACATAACAAAGAGACTTCGAACTTCCTATAAATTACAAAACTATTATTGATTTTTTAAAACAAACTCAACCCCCAAAACACTCAATAAGATATCAAAGTAATTTAATAATCAAAATTAAATTTAAAATAGTCTGCTATCATTTATTGGGTTTGTTTATAGAAATTAAATGGTATATAATTTATCTATATTATTAGTGCTAAGAATGAGTATATAACTAAATATCTTTAAAATATATTCATCAGTTCCCTTTCTTTTTACAAAATATGCGTAAAAGTATTATATATATATTATGGTCTCTCCACATTATGTTTTTAGCAAATTTCGACATTTCATATGAAACTATATATTAATTATCGAGATATATAACTTACTAGCTATTAGTAGTAGTAACATCACATCTATCTTCTACGTATCACTTTTTTTTCCATTAAAGGAAGAAAAGATTGATTTGAAAGAAGTTGACGTCAAAAAATAATAGTTATTGCGTTAACGGGGTTTAGCTCAATAAATAAAAGGCATTGACTTGCATATCAATTTTTTTAGTGTCAATTCCTCCCATGCCATATTTGGTAGTGTGTATGAGAAACTCCCTCCCTTTAGTTTCGTTTTTCACTTATTATTAATTTATTAAAAATTATCCATTTCCATCAATAATAATATGCAACTCGAAAAATAGTTCGAAAGTAGGTGATTAAGCATCTCATGCATTGGTCAAGAAATTGCACCCTTTCGGAGTAGAGTGATTAAGCATCTAAACATAGTGGTACCAAATTTTAACTTCAAATTAAAATGATTAAATGATTAATGAAAAAAAAAAACTTCCACTTCAACAACAATTTAAGTTGTCAAAACTCCTCTAACCTCACCAAGGATTGTCAGGTTTTGCATATTTGCCAAATTGCAAGTAAAGACAGCAATTTTGAATTGATTATGACTATAACCCAACGTACTAATTAAGATCAATATAATGCATGTGATGGAAAATTTGGTTGACAATGATAACCACAAATGGAGCACACTTGCATGCAAAGTTATTCTTCCTAAAAAGAATGATAACTATTGCTAATAATTTTTTTTATTTAAAGTAGTAATTGATCGATAGGGTTGTGGAATAATTCGTCTATATCTTCTCATTCAGCTCTTTTGAGTTTATTTTTTTTATTTTTTTTATATAAGAAAATGTCATAAATATCATGTTAAATATTTAGAATAGAACACCGCTTGGCTAATTACATATAACTTTTGAGGAGTCATTCATCTTTAAAGACTATTTTATTTTTTTGGAAAGATGCTTTATTAAAAAATAGAAGCACCGTCAAGGGCGGATCTACACCTCCAGCCCAATGCTGATTTTTTTAATTTATTTATTTTAGTCTTAGTGGTTTAAGCTGAATAAAAAAATATTCAATTTCCAATTTTAATTGTTGTTGTTAAGTTGTTATGATTTACGATTTGGGTGATAACATTTAGGGATTGCTATATATGTTTTATTTTTGTAACTTGAATTATTAATTAGTACATATGATTTTTTTTTGTCTAGTATTTCTTGTTAGCATATCATATCACATGATGATAATAGAGCGACAAAGAGAGGAAAAATTATTTATTAATTCTTCAAAAAAAGTAGTAATGATAACAAGGATACACCATTGGGAAAAGAAAAAAAAAACAAGGATACACCTTCTGCATATGATATTGATACTTCAATTCCTAAAGAACTTACTCAACTCAAATCTCAAATAGTTGAACAATGTGTTTTATTTGATATTTATTTATATTTTGTACTTCTTTGTGTTATATTTGCTTGTAATGTGGCCTTAATTGATTTATAAAATTTTATTTACATTTTTGTTTCAAGAGAAAAAAGGCTTATAATATATCTCCTGTAAAAAATAAAATTTAGCCTACCTCTATAAAAATTAGGGAGTTTCACTAAAACACCAAAAATGGAATCTGAAATTATAAAAAAACCCAAGCACTATTTAAACATATAAACACACCCAAAACCCATCATTACACACACTCAAAACCCATTTATAAACACACCCCAAAAGTTTCATTAAATAGTGTTTGAGTTTTTTTATAAATACATGTCTAGGATTGGGTTTATTTATAAATTTGTATAAAAATTATTGGGTCCGCCATTGAGCACCATATGAGTATATAATAAATGGGATGAAACTATCCGAAAGCTAACGTGAGAGCCATGAATAATAGTGTAATCTTAAAAAAGATTTGCGGCTTGAATACAATATGCACATATGCAAAAGTAACTCACTAAAATCGCAGAAAGGAAAATTTGGAGATGTCATATGTAAAATGTTAAATTTGAATTTGATAGTGTATGTGGAATTTTGACACTTTGGAAAAAATTTAACTCTACCCGAAATGCCTAATATCATATTATTTTATTATATTTTTAAAACCAAATTGGGTCCATATGATGCATATATATATATATATATATATATATATAAAGCAAAAGACAGAGAATGGTGAAACATTCAAAATACCAAAAAATGTCATTTGTTAATGCAAACATTAAGAATTAAAATTATTAATTAAATGAGGATAATATGATAAATTCACAATTTTTCGTATTTAAAAAATTAAAATTAAAAGAAAATTCAGATAATGGATCCTATTTTTATGGAACACAACTAACCATTATTTTTTTTAATTCTAAAATAAATTAAAATGCGGAAGCGCGTGCAGAGAAGCTAGTAAAATAATATTTGATATCAAGTTTTGTAGTTGATTATTTTGACATATCTCTTCAAGTCATGAATTTGATGATTACTTTAACATTTAATTTTTAGCATTTTATGTCTACGTGGTAATTTGATATATTAGTTGCTGACAAAACCATGTATTTTTCTTTGAGATAGGTGCATGCATTTGCCATCATTTTTTTTATTTTCTATTTTCTATAATCTCAGTGACAAAACCTATCGCCTGCTTCATAACTTCGCTCAACGCCCAATCTATAAATTTTCTGAGTCGACCACAAAGAATAAAAAAGAAAGAAATCTGTGAGTCACTTCAAACCGTACGATTTGCCCAGTCCTAAAAACAACAGTCGTACAGTCCTACTAGGCCCCACTAGTTTCCCCGATGATGCAGCAGAAGCGAAACTTTTCCCAGGGGTAGTGTCGATTTTTCACATGCACAGCCCAGGGTGAATTAAGTCAAAATACAACCGTTGTGCCATGTGTGGGCTCGAGATATTCGTCGATTAGATCGGCATAGAAACTGTAAAAACTAAATTTAATTACTTTAAAAATAAAAGAATGAAAAACGAAAAAAATAACTCCCGCGACCAATTTGACGGTGACAAGTGCCATGTCATGGCCCAGTCCCTTATCTCCACGTCACCATCACCCATTACTCGCCACCACGATCGCGAAGACCAATTGCATCGCACGGTTCACGACTCCCCAGGAGTCTGCCGATCAAGCGGCCTAGATTTCGTGTTCTAGAGTCTTCGAATCAAATAAACAGAAGCAAGAGAGAGAGAGAGGGTGGTCATCTTCTAACAAGGGTTAGTTTCTTAACCCGACTTTACGCGCTGAGTTAAAGGACGGACCAAGGGGCCAAAGACTGCTCTGAGAGAGAGAGAGAGAAAGCAAGCACAAAGACACAGACTCAGAGAGTAAGAAGAAGAAGACGAAAAAAACTCGAGAGGGTTTTGTGAGTCGACTCGGACAACTCTCTCCAATCACAGCCTATTGCGTCTAGGTTCGTTGAGCCTTTGATTCTCAGTCGTATTTGAAAGGGGCTCGACGTTCTTTCGTCATAGTTTTAACGGCCGTGTTCGTTTCGTCGTGTCGGAGTGTTTCGGTTGTTAACTCGTCCAGATCTTACATTCCGGTGAGTCGGTGCCTCCGATTAATCTCTTTCGTAGCTCACCAATGTTCTGATTTTGTTCTTCATTGTCGGTTCCCGTTCATGCTTATCTTGTCAATTTTATCTCTTATTGTTGATATGCTACTACTCGTAGATCGAATTAGATGCATTTTAGGTTTCAGTGTTCTTGATTTTGGGGAAGAAATGCAAGTTTGCTTATAGGAATTAGTTTCAGGTTCAGTGACTCGAATTTAAAGTGTGTTCCGTTTCCATACTGATTAGTTATTGAGGGGGTTTCGAAATGAAGTCGGTCAATAGTCTATGTGAATGATCGAAATTTCGAAGAATATTTCTTTCATCTGAAACTGCAGAGTGCATTAATATCTATAATTTGTGCATTTGGTGCTATGCATCGTGGCAGTAAATCAATGAATTAGTATATATATATATTGAATTTATTTACAGGTTATGGAATCTCATGTTTTTATGTTAATTTATTTCAAGTTCAATTAAGTGAACTGCTCTCTGTATTTGACCCATGCTTTGTTCTATGAGATCTTCTAATCCATGGAAAAGTAATTGATTTAATGTCCGACTGTTACATTTTGTTGCAGATTCTTTATTTTCTAGTAGCATGGCAGTGACTTCTCACTGAATGTAGCATTGACCTAGAGCATACCTTCTCGGTCCCCATTCATTTCTCATGGTTGTTTTGCTCTGATAATCTTCGTGGGATTTGAAATTCCTTCTCTTCATGGATTAATGATTGTTTTGGAATCAATTTTTCTACCCTTTCTGTCTTCGGCCGCTTGGGAGCTTGGCAACTTTTGGGGAGGGGAGAAGCTCTCTTCTACTGCCACCTCTTTTGCTGGCCGCCTAAACTGTCACTTCCTCTCCTTGCTTAATGTCGCGTAAACTGGACAGCCCAGTGCAGACCCAGATGGCAGTGGCATTATTTAGCAACCCACTCAGTGCGGAGTATCATGGAAGCAAGAGAATGGAAGGGAAGCAGTCCACTGGCAGGAGGCGAGTTTTTGTGCAAACAGAAACTGGGTGTGTCTTCGGGATGGAATTAGATCGCAGTGATAATGTCCATACTGTGAAGAGAAGATTGCAAATTGCTCTCAATGTCCCAACCGATGAAAGCTCTCTGACATTTGGGGATGTAGTGTTGAAGAATGATCTTAGTGCAGTTCGGAATGATTCCCCTCTTCTTCTCACAAGGAACCTTATGCATAGAAGTTCATCAACTCCATGCCTCTCACCCACTGGGAGGGATCTACAGCAAAGAGATCGGAGTGGCCCTATAGAGATACTAGGGAATTCAGATCAGTTTGCTAGAACAACACAAGTTGTCAAGGACATGGTCAAGGCCATTAAGATGGGGGTTGATCCAATTCCTGTTCATAGTGGGCTTGGAGGTGCATACTATTTTAGGAACAGCAGAGGTGAGAGTGTTGCAATAGTGAAGCCAACTGATGAAGAACCTTTTGCGCCTAATAACCCAAAAGGCTTTGTTGGTAAGGCTCTTGGGCAACCAGGTTTGAAGCGTTCAGTACGGGTTGGGGAGACTGGTTTCAGAGAAGTCGCAGCTTTCCTGCTTGACAAAGATCACTTTGCAAATGTGCCTCCCACTGCCTTGGTGAAGATCACTCACTCAATCTTCAACATAAATGACGGGGTGAATGGGAACAAGACTCCCCAGAAGAAGCTGGTTAGCAAGATAGCATCTTGCCAGCAATTCATACAACACGATTTTGATGCAAGTGATCATGGGACCTCCAGCTTTCCAGTAGCTTCTGTGCATCGTATAGGGATATTAGACATTAGGATTTTTAACACAGACAGGCATGCAGGGAATCTTTTAGTTAGGAAACTTGATGGTGTCGGGATGTTTGGTCAAGTGGAGCTCATTCCGATTGACCACGGCCTTTGTTTGCCAGAAACATTGGAGGACCCCTACTTTGAGTGGATTCATTGGCCTCAGGCTTCTATTCCATTTTCGGATGATGAGCTTGAGTACATAGAAAAACTTGATCCATATGAGGATTGTGAAATGCTGCGAAGGGAGCTTCCCATGATTCGAGAGGCTTGTCTCAGGGTTTTGGTACTCTCCACCATTTTCCTGAAGGAGTCTGCTGCATATGGTCTCTGTCTTGCTGAAATAGGTGAAATGATGAGTAGAGAATTTCGTAGCGGGGAGGAGGAACCCAGTGAACTTGAGGTAATTTGTATGGAGGCGAGGAGGATGCTAGCTGAGAGGGAGGCCTTGTCCCCCAAGGCTGATTTGGTGGGAGATCAGGAGTTCCTATTTGACATAGACTGTGAGGACACAGAGTTAGACTATACTTTAAAGCTTGCAGCAGATGATTATGTTAGCAGGACACCCTTTCAATTTGGAAATGGCAGTGGGCATGGCCGCTCTCCTCTCTCTAAACTGGAAGAAAGCATTGAGGAGGAAGAGGACAGTGAAGTGGAAGAGCAAGAGGCATTAGCAAGTCTGCGATCCCCTGAAAGGGTCCCAAGCGTTTCAAAGCTTTCAATGTCGCTGAAGAATACAGTTTTGGGTGAGAAGAGCCACCTGAAATATACAGGAACAAGAGCAGAGAATGGATACATGGCGAATACATCATCTGGACACAGGAGTGCAAATGAGCAGCTTCCTGCAAGCATGAGCTTTGTGAAGCTGGCTGACATGAGTGAGGACGATTGGGCTTGGTTTCTAGAGAAGTTTCAAGATCTGATGTACCCGGCGTTTGCTAAACGCAAATCTATTACCCTAGGTCAGAGGCAGAGACAGAGGCTTGGCACGTCGTGCCAGTTTTGATATTGAGGCAGCAATGTGTGGTGCGCTATGATAGTCGATAGACATGACTGAAGACGAACAATAAGATTAGGAGGTTCTGGGAGTGTAGTATTATTACTTTGCTAAGATAGATTTGGTCTCTGGTTTTCCCCCTGCAAGGTGTTGTAGTGATGAGTGACTAGGAGGAACTGCTGTAAATATTCTTGGCATCAGCTGAGTGAGGAGCTCAGTAGAATTGGTTGTATTTCTTGTTTTACTTTTTGTTTTGATTTCTTTGGTTCCTTTTTTTAGTTTTCGGTTTCTTTTTTCTTTTTTTTCTTTTTTTCTTGTTTTTTACTCGTTATGACTTGTTTGATAAATAATATGTAGAATGAAATCAAGAAAAAGATTATGTAAATAGTGAACTCTGTTTCTTCCCTTTGTTTCAAATTAGTTCTTGTTTATTTGTTTCCATTTTATTGAGAAAGTTGGTGTTTTATGCATTTGGTCTTTAGCTGTAGCGTACGATCCTTTACAAGCCAGAAATTTGAAATGTGAGCGGACTGAGACATCCATCAGTTAATCATCTCCATGTGTTTTTATTGTTGAAAATCTGTCTCATCTTTACTTCAATTGCTATTTATTCTGCGGACTGCCCCTCCACTTTAGGTTGTGTTTATTCTGCGGACTGCCCTCCACTTTAGGTTGTGTTTTTGAATCCCCCCTTACATGATATTCCTTGTATAAACCTAAAAAACTCATGTCTTATTCTTTGATATGTTCCGCATGACGTACATCTGTGTTCAAAAACCTTAGGCCGCCGTCCACAGATTAATTTTGCGTCCATTATTGTTTCTCGACGTCTCTGAATTTGAGGGATTAAATCAATGTTCATAACTTCTATAAATTAATGGATTCTGAAAAGGACACGACTATTGGTTATGTCATGGTTGTTGAAATGAAACTATATACAAGAAGATATACAGAGAAATTTTGTCGATGCTGACATGGAAAGCAGAACAGATATTAACAACCCACCAATAAACATCACATGGAAAAGGTCCCACGACCCATTGGATTTCGACTGAAATAATTTCAAGCCCTGGCGTTTCAACTTTGTTTGTCAGCAGATTTTTTTGCCTGCTGTTTGCTTCAACCCATTTCCGCGGGTTCTCCACACCAGCAATCTTGAGATTCTTTTGTGTTCTTGGTGATGCAGAGCAATTTTGACATTGAGTTTTTTTAGTTGGTGCATTGAAATTTCATGCTATGTGTAAGGGACTTGTAACATGTAATTAAGAGCAATTATTCTTGTGCTGAGATTTTGTTCTCAATTCAACCATTACTCGGAGATGGGTGGTAACAATCTTTCACTCTTATATGTCATTAGTGGTGGGGTTTCACTTTCAATCCTTCACTCTTAACAAGGGTTAATTTTGGATTTGGACTTTAGCTACAAAGAAGATAGGCATTGAGATTTGGTGCAACTAACAATCTTTGTGGGCAGTCAAAGGCCTTCCCATTTTAGCCGATGGAAATTGTTGTGCTTTATTACATGAAAGGATATTAATAATAGATTAATTAGTGTGAAAATTTCATTGGGAGGTGGACTGAGACTGCAATGAACCAACGTGGCAGCCTAATCTTGAACATGAGCAGCTGTGCATTGTAAATTGCCACTTGTCTGTGGTGTGGGGTTGGGGCTGGGTCCTCTGGCTTCACTTCACTAATGGTTTCAGATGCAAGACAAGATGATGCGATTAACAAGTTGGGCAGAGACAGACAAAACGTGAAACTCAGACTTGTATTGTTGTCCCCCTTCTCTCAGTGTCATTACAACAATTTGAAGCAAAAGATTTTGCAAATTGCAATGACTGGTCAATTTGACTCTGCTAATACAAACTGTTTGCACTAATCATATTGTTTAAGGCTTTAAGTACATGATAGAATCAAAAGGCTCAATTGAATGGAAAGTAGGAGCCATCAATTTCAATGGCTGCCAATGATTAAAAAAGCACAGCTGTTCAATTGAGTGCATGCTTCTTTTTATCATATCATTATGGCCAAGATAGGCTGGCCTTAGGATCAATTGGTCTAGTCATGAGAGCAAGTCCATTCATTAGGCTGGGCCATGTCAAAATCTTGCAGATTCCAGTCCATTGAGCAATTTACTAAGGCTTTCTCCAACACATGAGAGGTTAAATCCAAATTTTTTCATTTCAAAAGTAACTATTTGGGTTTTTCCCATACTCAAATCGTTTTTTCTCCCAACCTTCTGGACTCAAATTTTAAGTCCACAACTTTATTAAATTATTTAAAAATGATTTAAGTCTAATTTTTTTTTTAATGGATAACTTTTCTTCATTCAATCTTTTTAAATAACTTCATAATTAAATTTTTTGAACAATTTGACCTAAAAAAATTGAAATTCCACAATTATAATTTGACCTAGATTAATTTAAAATATTGTTTTGACCATTGGATTTAAGTTTCAGCCGTTGGATTTATTTATTTTTTTTACCATTAAAATAGTTTAGATTTAATCTAGATCATTGATTTAAGTTACATTTATAATATATATATAAATAAAATAAAAAACCAAACATCAACATCAGTAGCAGCTTGACAAGTGGCGGGACAAGCACAAACTTGAATAGCACAGCAGGTCAGCTGGGGCCCATGTCAGATTCTGTGCACATGGGGCTGTTTTAGGTGTAGTGGGCTCCATTGAATAGTGTTGGGTCCATGCAATACTTGGACCTATATTTAGGTCTAAATTTGGATTTTCCCAAATTTTGGGTCCTTCATTTTCTTGGGTTGGGAGAGGATTTGGGCAATATTTTGGGTTTAAGTCCTTGGGTTGGAGATGGCCTAATAGCATATTTACTAATCCGTAATTAGATTAGGATGAATTGAATTGATGGTGTGTTTAATAATAAGGAATTGGAATTTACATCAAGAAATTGAAAAGTAAGTGGGGCCCACATAATTAAGAATTGAATTCCTGATTTTGGAGGAATTCAATTCTGGGGTGGGAGATGATATTCTAATTCATGAAGAACTAACTCATTAGGAATTCATCTTTTTTATCAATTATATCTTCACAATTTTTAAAATTTCAAATTTGCCATCTACTTTAACCTAACAACAAGGACATTTTGGTAATTAGTCCACTCATAACCCAATTTCATATGATTTAGTAAACAACTTCAATAGGAATTCGGAATCTAACTCATCTCAATCCATATGGTTTAGTAAACAACTTCAATAGGAATCCGAAATCTAATTCTCCTCAATCCAACTCTTCCTAAATTCAATTCATCCTCAATTCAATTCCTCATAATCCAATTACGGATTAGTAAACATGCCATGAGGAGTTGGATTGGGGAGAATTAGATTCCGGATTCCTATTGAAGTTATTTATTAAACCATATGGATTAAGGGGAGTTAGATTCCGAATTCTTATTGAAGTTGTTTACTAAACCATATGGATTGAGAGGAGTTAGATTCCGGATTCCTATTAAAGTTGTTTACTAAATTATATGGAAATGAGGGTAGGAGTGGTTCTAATTACTAAAAGGTCATCATTGTTAGGTTAAAGTAGATTAAAATTTTGGAATTTTAAAATTGTGTGAGGATATAATGGGTAAAAAAAAGATGAATTCCTAATGGATTAGTTCTCCAAGAATTCAATTCCTCCAAAATCAGGAATTCATCTCCTAATTTTTTGTGGGCCCCACTTACTTTTCAATTCCTTGATGTGACGAGAATTCCAATTCCTAATTAGTAAACACACCATAAATGTTGTAACCCTTATGAATCAAAGATAACTCAAGTGTTTAAGAGCAGTTAGCAGCACCCGAGGTTCTGTGCCCGAATCCCCCATTCTTCAATATCGCTTAAATTTAAATATAAAAAAAGTATAAAACAGAGCAATGCTTGTCATTCTCTTTAATATGATTGATGTGTTGCACCAAGAAACATAAAAAAGGCAAAGAAGAGCTATAGAATCCAACTTGGATGCTATTCCATTTCTGCATAACTTAAAAATATTAGTGACCACGCCATACAGCTACATATGGAAGACAAATATTAATTTATTACATTAAACAAAATTAAATTTCTAAAGAACATTTGATACATATATTTTCATCATGTTAATTAATTAGATTAGATATGTCTCCAAGGTCTTTCTGCAAGGCTCACACATTCACCGTATCTATAACAATCCACAAGATGATCAATGGTCAACCCTGCAGCTTGCATGAAGGAATACACAATGACCGGCCCAACATATCGAAACCCTCGCTTGATCAAATCCTTGCTCATGGCTTCTGCTTTGGGGCTCCTCAGAGGAACATTTCTTGGATATCTGAATCTGTTGATGACTGGTTTGTGGTTCACAGAACCCCACATGTAGCTGCTAAAAGAGCCACATTCCCTCACAATCTGCATTTTTTTTTTGGGATAAATTAATTAAGATATATCAGGTGCAATGGGGCAACCAAACTTTAATTGATATCAGCTTTTAATTTGTTAAGTTTCTAGCTTGCCTTCAATATGCATTTGGCATTGTCTATTATGCACCTCACTTTGCACTCTGCCAACATTATTGCCTTGTTGGAGGCTATCTCTGCAATCTCCTTCTCCCCCATTTTGGCAACTTTGTTTGGATCAAATCCAAAAAATGCTTCCCTGAGTTGCAAACCAAATCATAAGCTAATTCAACCATGTTTTGATACAAAGTTTCATAAATTAGTCAGATGGGTAGAATAGGAGAAACACTTGTGTGAAACATAGATAGCACCGGTCAATCACGATATGCCAAGTATGATAACTTTTTCACTTGTTATACCATGATTGGTTGGGGATAGCAAAACAGTGTTGTTCCTGTTCCACACAAGTTTTTCTGGTAGAAAAGACATTACCGGAAGAGCTCCCTTCTTTTGACAATTTCAGTCCAGTTGTGGTCCATCAACATACCAGACAATGCAAGCAGCTCAAACAATTGACTGTATGCAGCAGATGATTAATTAACACTAAATAGTTGGCTTGAAAGTCCATATAAATGATGGAGAATTGAAGCTCCAAAGGACTTACTTGTCATCGTATGCTGGAACTCCCCAGCATTCGTCGTGAAACGCTACATAAACTTTATCTGCATAACATAATAAAATTCTACGATCAATGCATGTCTGCATAGAATTATTCTATTTACTCTAGCAAAACCAAAAAGAGTTTCTTATACTATTTATTGTATATATACGACGTCACTTTGTTGAAATGTCAACCAGTTGGTTGTGATGGAAGCTTGATGACTTTTTCTTTTGTTTATTTATGTGTACTATCATTTTCTTTAGATTCCTCATACCAACTGCGAGGACCATTTTTTTTGTTCTTCCCTTTTCTCTCTTTGGTTGCCTGGTAATTAAGATGTGGCTTTGTCAAAGCATGAAAACAAGAAATCAAAGTTTTCTGCAATGTGTGATGAAACAATGAAACTTACCACTATTCTTTGTTATCCAATTGCACCTCTTCAATTCCCCATCATTAGTATCCTGAGCCTGACTAATTTGCTGCTGGACAACTTTAGCCACTGGGGAATTATATTCTCTTCTCTGGGTTGGTGCAATGAATCGGAGCGCCGCGGAAATCTTCTGATCCAGTGTGCTAGAATCAGTGATAGAAGAATCATAGGAGTTTTCTGACAGAGACAATGACAAAGATGATGACAGAGACAGAGATAGAGATGAAGTGCTCTTGTGAAGCCCAATTGGGTAGATTCTCTTGAGGTGTTTAGGGCTACTTGTCTTCTCTCTCTCTTTCAAAACTTTGTTCTCCAGAAGTACATGCCTTCTTACATTGGCTCTAGACATGTTGCAGCAGAGGATGAGGAAAGCTAAGCTTATTAACTTAGCTTAAATGGAGTAGCTATGTTAAAGCAGGCTGTGATTTATAGGAAGAGTTATGGTTAAGTTGGTTGGTGAAATGTGAGTTTCATGCATAATGCTCTGGTACCATTTCCTCCTTAGTTTCAAAGCAAAATCCAAGGTAAAAGGTTTCTTTGAAATCATTGAGCCTTTGTGACTTAAAAGGATCAACCTGAAAATTTTAATCACATTGTGATGATGGGTCCATGTCATTCTTAGCTCCTACTCTTTTTTTTTGCTCTGTAGCCTTCTCTGTAGGTTTGAGGCATACTTGTTGCCAGCACAGAAAAAGATATCCCATCCATCAATTTCATGCTGAGCTTCCTAAGTCTCTTTTGTTATGTCAAAATTTTTTTCTTCTTTGGTTGCTTGAGAAAAAGTCATGTAATTATTTAGGAACCAAATACAACATAGTACATTGAAACATTACTAAACAAACTAAGCGTCGAACATCTTTTTAAGCTAAAAATATTGTGGGCTTCACTTTCGGCCCACTTTAACTTGGTCCAATTCTTTGACAAGCTCATCCAAATGCTTTGAAGAGCTCCCGCCACTTCCCACGGCCGCAAATGCCTTGTCCCTCAGTTCCTTCGCTCTCAACTTCTCCGGTGTCTCCCCGGTCATCGACTCGGCAATCACCTTTCCTAACTCAGCCGGGTCCGGCACTGCATTATCGCCTTGGCACACCTTCACAGCCACACCCATGTCCTCAGCCAACAGCTTGGCATTCACAAACTGGTCAGCCTCCATGGGCCAGCCCAATATCAATACACCAGCCACTATCGCTTCCAGGACAGAGTTCCACCCACAGTGGCTCACAAATCCACCCACGGCCTTGTGGCCCAGGATCAATACCTGTGGGGCCCAACCCTTTATGACCAAGCCCCTCCCGCCAACCCTTTCCTCAAATCCATCTGGTAAAACCCCATACCCATCTTCCACCTGTTGGGCCGAGCCTGTTTTCACGGCCCACACAAACCGAACCCCGCTACGTTCGAGCCCAGAAGCCAAGGCCTCCATCTGCTGCCTATTTGGCAACTTCTGACTCCCAAAGCAAACGTAGAGCACAGATCCGTCGGGGCACCCGTCGAGCCACGTCATCGCATTGGCACCGGAGTCCTTGTTTGGGTTGGCCCGGCCCAAATTACTGTCATCAGCAGCCGCGGCCGCTGTTAGACTCAATGGGCCGACCGCGTAAACACGGGAGTGGCCCATTTTAGTCCGCAAGTGGGCGAAATACTCAGCCTCCAAGTCCTCAAAGCTGTTAAAAACGCATCCCCAACTCTCGGTATTGGCGAGCATGGAATTCCTCAGGAGCTCAGACTCGGGATCCGATTCTCTGTGGCAGCGGACCACAGAGGGCACCTGGTCCTGTTTAAAGGAGGGCGATCTAGGAAGATCAGGAAAATGAACGATCCCTGATGAGGAGCGCATTTTGTCCAAATTACGCCAGCAGTAGTGGAGCACAGAGGCCAAGAAGGCGCCAGAGGAGTAAAAGGTAATTCTGGGAATGCCAAGCTGGTGGGCCAGGTGTAGGGTCCACCCGAGGAAGAAATCAGAGAGAAGGGCCACCGGTGGGTTAGGGTGGGAGCTGAACCAGTGGACAATCGGGGCCTGGAGATTGGCTAGGGCGTTGATCACATACAAGTTGCCGTGGTTGCCTATGTCCTTGATGTTCTCAACGCCGGGGGGTATTTTGGGGTGAGGAGGGAAGGGGAGGACTACGGTTTGGATGGACGAGGGGTGGGTGTGGAGGAGAGGGGTTAGGGTTGGGAGGTTTTTGGGGGTGACCAAGATGGTTATGGAGAGGCCGTGGAGGGCTAGCTGGTGGGTTAGGTCTAAAATTGGGAGCATGTGCCCTTGCGCAGGGTAAGGGAACACCAGGATGTGGGTTTTGCCAGAAGTCGACATGGTTTTCTGTTTGGTGATCCAGAAAAGGAGAGAGCAGGGAGACTTGGAGTTGACTATATGGTTAGGGCAGTGTGGCGTGAATGTGGAAAGATGCACATCTAGGAGACTAGGACTAGATATATTGTCCAATTTATCCACCCCATTGTGGACTAGATAAAAGTTTTTGAACTGTCGAAAGCGGTTGGTTGGTTCTTGGTTGTTAATAAACAGGTCTCTCTTAACCACCGGCGTCTGTTAACTTTTTGCGTTGGATATTTTAGGAAAGGTGACGGTGAACTTTTTACAAGGCCATCACCAACCCATGTCTGGTCTGTACTGTGTTGGGTCATATTTACATATTTGCTGCCTCACCAACACCAACCCATTGGGCTGGCTTTGGTCCAGTTTGATCGTACAGTCGGACTCAGGTTCTCCAACGGGCCTGGGAAAAATATTTTGCAACATTCTTGGGCTCATTTGTGATGCGAGCTTTTCTATAGAAAACATTTTTGCTCGTAAGCGCATTTTCATATATGCTTTTAATAGAAGGATGTCAAAAAATTTATTAAAAATTCAAGTGCTTCATGAGAAGACGATTTTAAGTTTTTCTGCGAAACACTAGCAATTTTAACTTTTAGCTATTTCAAAAGCACTCTCAAACGATTTGTGTAAAGTTTACCACAGAAGGAGCATTCAAGAAAAAATAAAAGTGGAAAAGGAAACCCAATTAAGAGAAGTAAAAAGTAAAATTAGAAGGTTCATAATTAGTACGTTACCAAAATTCATATATAATATAAGGCCTCATCCGTTTTTTAGGACTAGTTATTCTTAGGAGGGTGGTGCCTTGGTGAATGGTAATCCTGACTAAAAGCTACAAAACCTGCAGAATATTCATCATTATGATCATGATCAACACCTCCTTTTACACTGCTACTTTGTCTACTTTCTCCATTTCCAATCGTATTCGCTTCATGACTGCGACGTGGTGATTTTCCTTCAAGCTCTGAGCTGCTGCTTGAAGCCGTCTTTGAGTTGCTCTTCCTTCCACTCTCAGCGTCCACTTCTACTTTAAATTCCTTCTCTAACCTCACAACCTTGTGGAGAGCACCCATTTTCCTTCCTCCTATCTTCGTGTCCTCCTTAGTAGCAGTAGATGTAGAAGGACTAACCATTTCATCAATATCTTGGCCCTGCAGGTATATATATAAAAATTATAGAATAAATCATATCTTTATACTAAACCTTTAAAATGTACATTAATATTAGTTTGGTTATTTCAGAATATAATAACTAAAATTTGCGTACCCTTACGGTTGAAACATCATTAATTTTGGTCACGGCAGCGTTTCCGCCTTCAAATTAAAGAAAATTGAAATGTTGGTAAGCTTAAACATTGCATAGTGAGAAACAGTCCTGTAATTTCAAGCATATTAACGAAAAAATTGGACTATGTAATAGATAAAGAAAAGCAGATACCTAATTGATGAAGGGGATGTGCAGACATACCCCATATGCTTGCAGCAGAAACAAGCACAAACAGTAGCAGGCAATAACAAGAAGACTTCATAATAGCCCCAAATATCTGTCTGTCTTTCCCTTTTCACCTTTTAAAGAGAAGAATAAATGAAACCTAGCACTGCAGAGTGAGTCGGTGAATGTGTTAAATCTGGATTTCAAAGAGAGTCAAATGTGTAAAACCCAAGTCAAATATATAGGTGGCATCAACACACACACACACACACATAACATATATACCCAAGTCAAACTAAACTAGTCAAATATATAGCCTATCTAGGGGACCCTAGGGTTCCTAAAAACCTTTGAATATTTTAACTTTTTTAGAGGATTGGCTGTGGCCAAGACAAGCATTACAAATGCTACATAAAACTCCGTGTAACCCATGTGTATTTTGATGTGGGAACGAAGATTTCGAAGCATCTTGAGAAGAATTTGATGTATGTTTCTCGCATTTTCAGAAACAAACCTAACTATTTGGACCTCAAGGGCCAAGAGGGGCATGCATAGTTAGAAGAGAAACTTAGTACTGTAACGTGGAACGGAAGCTACGGACGTTAAAGTGTTTTGTGCCTGTCTGCCGTCATATGCAAACACCCATCAAGCACATCGAAGGGCTGGCTTGGCCTAATTCCTCAATTCCATGTATTTACACATTACTTTTGGCAGGCTAAGGCTACTGTTTCTCATATGTATATAAGCATCAATATCTCACCATAATAACAACAATAGGTTATATTATAATATGAAGAATTATGGCATGTTAAAAAAAGAGCGAGCGTCAAATTCTTGTATCTCATTATATTGTTTTAGGCTTTGTGATCGGTAATAAAAGATATTTGAACTTAAACCACCTCTTTCAATTATGCATAAAATTACCACAAAACTAAAAGCTAATAAGTCACATTCATTATTATTTTTGTGTTAAATTCATAAAATTACGAGCCCGCCAAATTTAAAGATGAAATAATTTAATGTAATTTATAAGCATAAGAGGACGCATATATACATGGCATGAAATTAAGAGAATAAGAAACATCTATGCGATGCAAAGTTGTAAATTTTGAATCACTAACTCTATTGCATATATATTATAAGGGCTCTCGGAACTATGTGTGTTAGAACACCAGGAATTGTGTCTAGGGTTTAAGAACTTGGGATAGTGAAGGCGTTTCATCCAACGAAACTTTCAGTGGGTAGCCCTCGTCTACAGTGTAAAACCCATTTGTTTTGCTCAACTCAACTCAAACCACCTCTAGACATGTTTTTCCAAAGTCGGAAATTGTGCACTGTGTTGCATGGCATTTTGCGTATAGCTAGCCACAAATTATATAATATATATAATCTTAACAGAAAAATTAAAAAGAACATAAGTACAGAATTATGGAACCTTACCAGTTAGCAGCTTCTGCAAGTTGCCTAGTGGAAATGTATGAGTTTCAGCCAGCCGAAAAGTGATTTGAATTTCAACAATTTACGTATAGGCCGTTGAAGATCGATCATCAAATACTAGATCCAATGCGTTTAAGGAAATAAATGTGAAATGTTGACCAAAAATAAAAGGAAATAATTTGAAATTTGAATACAATTTGACATTCAAAATTTTGAAATAATTAGGTGCAATGTAAATCATCTAAATTCATGGTATCTTTTTTTTTTTTTTTTTTTTTTTTTTTTTTTTTTATTTTTAATCCAAACATTTTCGTCTTGCTAATATTCAAATAATTTAGCTAACAAAAGTTAATTAAAATCGTTAAATTTGAAATATCAACAATGCTATTGGTACCACTTTTATTGATCACATTTCTAATAGAAGTGGACTCCACCAATGTATACAGGACCTACCCATATTAGATAAGTAGTCGATCAATAAAGATGGTACAAATTGTGAAAGTAAAAAGTCCCACATTGGAAAGTTGATAAATTTAGCAAGGGCTTATAAGAGTATTTCCACCCATTTGCCATGACAAAGGGCAAGGGCTGTTACTATTCATGTGAATAGTGACAATCCTTGCAAAATGCTTGTAGTGTTTCCACCCATTGCCTTGGCAATCACTATTCACATGAGATATGAGGAGAGAAATTTGTATAGAGTTTTAGTGTGGGAAGTGAAGAATATGGCTAAGAATTTATTTTTAAAAAAAATCTAGAAATTTTAGTATTTTTTAAGATTTTTTTTATAAAAAATTTGTAACTGACATTAGCAAACCTAGGTTATTCTTGCCTTTGGGCTGACCTGGTTTGGTGGGACCCATGTGTTGCCAGGGCTGTAGAAGCCTGCTGGAACTACAAATTGAGACTTGGGCCCCCTGTTGCCTGGGCAATGAGCCATTGCTGGAAGTGCTCTAAGGAGTTGGGTTACTACCCCCATTACCAATTAGTTTTGGGGTGGAACCTCAACCTCCTTCACAAATAACATATATATCAAATTTCGATGAAGTAAACTATTAAAAATTGAAATTGGGTCTCTTTCTTTCTTCTTACTTTAGGTCATCTCCAGTCATACGGCTAATGTAGTCCATGACTATGAATTTAGCCCTCTAAAATATTAATTTTTTAAAAGAATAGTGTAGGGTTAAATTTTTCCATCTCCAGTCATGTAGGGCTATATTTTAGGGCCATTCATCTATATATATAAAGCAAAAGGCAAAGAATGATGAAACATTCAAAATATCATAAAATACCCTTGGTTAATTCAAACATTAATAATTGAAATTATTAATTAAATGAGGATAATATGGTAAATTCACATTTTTTTCATATTAAAAAAATAAAAATAAAAACAAAATAAGATATTATGTCCTACTTTTATGGAACATAACTACCTATGTTATCTTTTCTTAATTCTAAAAATAAAATAAAATAAAAAAGAAAAAAGAAAACCAATTGGCACATGGGCTAGTTTTTTTTATTATTTTGAGAAAAACTATAGTGCAGTACTCGTACATTCCACAACTATGTATTGTTTAATTTAATTTAATTACTATTTAGAGACAATATTCCATATATGACACATGTACATTGATAAGCATTTAACACGTGTACGTGGCACCTCTTATCTTCATCTTCAAATGTCAATAAATGGAATGTTTTCGATTGATGATGCCTTTGTGTATTTTTGTGAGATGCGTTCCCAAAGCCCACTGCTTTTTTGGTTAGTACGCACAACGTTATTTTCGGAGACTTTTATAAAAGCCTTGCAAAGATGTTCATCTTCCACTCGTGACCAATTTCGTCCCTTCAAAGTCCGAGACATTTTTCAAACAATATGAATAACAAAATAAGTAAAGAAAATAAATTTGTAGGAAATGTTTGGATGAAATGCGTGTGGAAGATATTTGATAAAAGAAAAGTGTGGAAAGTTGTGAATAAGTAGAGAATGTGATAGAATTTGTAAGAAATGTGGAATGAAATGAGTGGGAAAATTTTTTAAGAAATTTTGAGGTATTTATAGACATATTGTAGGTTTTTAATTTTTTTTAAAAATAATAATAATAAAACCAAGAAAGGCAATTTTTTAAAAATAAAAAAATGGATTGCGTTTCAATGGTTCTGACCTCCAACGGTCATAACCAATTTTTTTTATTTAAACAAAACAAATTTGAAACATTTAAAAAGGTTTTAAATAAAAAAAGAAAAGAAGAAGAAGTAACTTTTCAATTAATGGTATCGACCTCCAATGATCATAAATCAATTATATATATATTTAAAATAAAATGAATTTTAAAACTTTTAAAAAGGCTATTTAAAAAAAAAACTTAACAGCTAGTTGACGTCATTAGTTGTTGGATTTGTAGTTGTACAAAATGTTTCGTGTTCTCGGCCACATGCAATACTTTTTCTTCTAGAAAAGAACATGCACTGAGCCCACAAGAAAATTTGACCAAAATTGAGGTATAAGGCCATCTCCAGCCATGGAATATAGCCCTAAAATAATGCAAAACCCATCTCCAACCATGGGCTAAACAAAATTTTGGTCAAATTTGGAGGGCCACATTTGGCCCTTTAGCTCTCCAACCAGGCCACATTTAGCCCAGCTTTAGCTTAGGCCAAATTTTTTGTGGGTCCCATGCATGTGCTTTTGAAGAAGATAAATTATCAAGTGTGGGTAAGAACACGAATCATTTCGTACAAATGCATATCCAACAACCAACAATAAAAGGGCTGACGTCATCAATATATTTTTAAAAAGCCTTTTTAAATGTTTTCAATTCGTGTTGTTTAAGAAAAATTTATAAAAAATTATTGGTCTTGACCATTGGAGGTCAGACTATTGAAACCCAACCTTTTAATATATATATATATATATATATATATATATAAATGTGGTCACTTTTTTAAATGTTTTTAATTCGTAAAAAAATTATAAAAAATTACTGGGCATGATTGTTGGAAGTCAGACCATTGAAACCCATCCTTTAAATAAATAAATAAATAAATAAATGTGGTCACCTTTTTAAATGTTTTCAAGTGTTGTTTAAATAAAATTATAAAAACTTATTGGTCATGGAATATTGTCTCTAGTAGTTTAATTAAATTAACAATATATAGTTGTGGAATGCATGAGTGTTGTACCATAGTTTTTCTCAAAATAATAAAATATGAAAGACACTAAAATATAGCTTTGCATGGCTGGAGATGGAAAAATTTAGCCTTTTTAAAAATTAATATTTTGGAGGGCTAAATTTTTAGCCTTGGACTATATTTAGCCCTATGATTGGAGATGACATTTTTCTATCTCTAGCCATGCATGACTATATTTTAGGGTCCTTCATATTTTATTATTTTGAGAAAAACTATAGTACAACACTCATACATTCCACAATTATATATTGTTTAATTTAATTAAACTACTATTTAGAGACAATATTCCATATATGTGACCACATTTAAAAAAAATAAAAAATAAAAAAAGGATTTCAATATTTTGATTTCCAATGGTCATGACAAATAATTTTTTATAATTTTTTTAAACAACACTTGAAAATATTTAAAAAGGTGACCACATAAAAAAAAAGAAAAAGAAAAAAAAAAGAGGATTGGTTTCAATAGTCTGACCTCTAATGATCATGACAAATAATTTTTTATACTTTTCTTAACAACACGAATTGAAACATTTAAAAATACTTTTAAAAATATATATGCTTTAATGTTGGTTGTTGAAAAGCAAATGCATGAGGTCCACAAAAAATTTGGCTCTGGGCTACATTTGGCCTGGTTGGAGGGCTAAATGGTTAAATGTGGCCCTCTAAATTTGACCAAAATTTTGTTTAACCTATGGTTGAAGATGAGTTTTGCATTATTTTAAATATAGCTCATGGCTGAAGATGGCCTAAGTGGCCTAGTTGGAGGGCTAAATGGCCAAATGTAGCTCTCTAAATTTGGCTAAAAGTTTCTTTAGCCGATGATTGGAGATAAATTTTATATTATTTTAGGGTTATTGGGCCTATGACTCATGACTGGAGATGACCTTAGGCCTAATTCTATTGGGCTGATGGTTCTTGTAGTATATTAGTATTTGGGCTTCGATCTGTGTACGTATAGATGGGCTTTCATCTTTATTGACGAGGTATTTCAGATGTCCAAAAACCAAAAAGCCAGAAAGAAAAAAAAAGAAAAAAAAAACATTGGCAGGCAATTTGGCATTACATTGAAGTGTTGAAGTTGAAGATGAAATATTTTAAATAAGTTGTGGTGGTAAGTAAATATGGCCCCAAATATGCAATCATTTGATGTTCCCTCCGCTCTTAGAACTCAGCCCCCACCCACAGCACTCATTCATGTTCTTTTGCTTATTTTTTCATCAATTACCCCACAATTTCATCATTCTTCTACTTTTTTTGCATTTTGCTTGCTCTCTCAATTTTCAAAGTCCGCTCCTTGGAATGCAATAGCGATATTCAAAATTAATTTCTCTAAGTGGACTATGCATTTTTTTTTTCAGTTTTTTTTGTTAGAAAATACTTTCCTTTTTTTGTAAGTCGGAGCTTCTATATTCCTGCCAAGCGCAGTGTGACATATACATACACATTTTTCTTTTTCTTTTTTTGATAAATTATTTTTAATTAGGTGTCAAACTGTGATTTGGATGAAGGACGTAGAAGGAGCAAGCAATAGCTTTTTTATTGCTAGTATTGCCTATAGAGCTGACCTTTGCATGATGGTGTTGAGAGATTACTATTATGCAGGGTGGGGACTCAAAAATGTACGTCTTTGGATATTTTCCACAGTTCCAGATATATTTGGCTTTCACTTGCCGACGACACCCCATTTATTTTCCCATTTATTTCAAAGAAAGCCAACGTATCACAATTAACTAATTATATAATGGCCTTCTACGAAAATAAATTAATGGGATGATGATGTTTAAATTTTATTCTTCTTGTTCCGTTTGTGATTTATTCATTTATTTTCCATATGAGGAATGTTGATATACCTTAATTTAAATAAATAAATAAAAAGATAAACTCGGGAAATCACTCTTGCTGCTATCCGACAAGAATTTCTTTTTCTTCCTCTGTCTATCTTTGTCTTGTCCTTTTTATCTTTGCCTCTCTCTCTCTCTCTCTTACTCACTCACTCACCCTTAAAACAGGAATTAATTCAAACATTTTCTCTATAAACCAAATGGAAAAACCCTTTTCTTTATTAAGACAAATCAAACACAAACCTTTTAAAACAGCTTTCATATTCCTTCCAAGCTCCCATGGTTCAAAATCATATTTTTCATCTCTTACACAGCACATAGTTTTCTACCAAAACACCAGCTTCAAAGCAAAAAGCCGAACTTTACCATGCAGTAGAATTCTCACCTGTTGCAGCTAGCCACCCAATGACCCAAACCACACAAATTAATACTCCATACTAAATATCCCAGTCTTTTTCGAACTTCCACCGATCAAATAAAAATGGGGTCTGCAACATCTTCTATGGCTGCAAAGTTTGCATTTTTCCCACCAGACCCTCCATCATATAGCACATATGTGGATGAACCAACTGGGAAATTGAGGATCTCTGATGTTCATCCCAGAGATGATGTGGACGTGGTCAAGCTCAGCACCAAGAAAGGGAATGAGATTGTGGCCATGTTTGTCAAAAACCCATGTGCTTCTCTCACTCTGCTTTACTCCCATGGAAATGCTGCTGATCTAGGTCAGATGTACCACATTTTCACTGAGCTTAGTCTTCATCTTGGTGTAAATCTCATGGGGTCAGTTTCCATATAATTTTTTTTCTTAATGAGTTGTTACTTAATTTGTTTCTGTTAATGAAATAATTTAGAAATGGTGTGAGGATCTAGACCATTATTATCAGTTGGGATTTCATGGTGCTATATGATTTTGCAGGTACGACTATTCTGGTTATGGACAATCTTCTGGAAAGGTATAATTCGACCAGCTAGCTAGTGCCTACCTAATTTTCTGTAATTAAGATCAATTGGGTCAAATCCAGTGTTGTGAATGAACACGTGTCACTGTTTGACATGACCTTTGATACTGTCATGAGCCCATTTATTTTTCAAAGGACTGTTTGTTTACATCTTGTTTGATGATGGAATGCCATTGATTGGCAAAAACAATAGTACCATCTGGCTATAAATTAATTTTATATGTTTTAACCAAAAAGAAGAAAAAGAAATTATAGTTTCTCAAAACTTCCCCATCTCCTCAAACTATTTCCAAGTCAACATTCATTTGTAACACTTCAATTTCAGACCATGGCAAGTGTTCATTGTCTGCATCTTTATGCAAAGGTTACTGTCCTGACATGCTTTAGTTTCTGTAAACAATCAAAAGCATATTGATGATAATATGCTAACATATATAAATACCTTCATCAATTAGCCAAGTGAGCAGGACACTTACGCAGACATAGAAGCTGCCTATAAATGCCTTGAAGAGACGTATGGTATAAAGGAGGAAGACGTCATATTGTATGGACAGTCAGTTGGAAGTGGACCTGCTTTGGAGTTGGCTATTCGTTTGCCTCACTTGAGGGCTTTAGTTCTGCACAGTCCTATACTGTCTGGCCTTCGAGTGATGTACCCTGTTAAGAAAACATTCTGGTTCGACATTTACAAGGTTTCACCTCCACTTTCATTGAACAAAATCACTTTATTTTTATTTTTTATGATTGGTTTAATGATCTCTATTGTTGAATGTTTGAGTTTTGTTTCTGCTGCAGAATATCGATAAGATCCCGTTTGTCAATTGCCCAGTTCTGGTTATTCATGTAAGTCTTCATCTATTAATTTCCTTTCATTCTTGCTTGGTATGATGATTTTGAGTATTTGTGGCACATTTTGTATGGCCTAACTAATTAGTCTACAGATTGTGAACTACATTATCTTGCATTTCAGTTCGGCTTGAACTTTGATTTATTGTTCTATGACTTCCACAAATTGAAATGCTTTCACTTGACACTTCTGCAAAGAAATTAGTTACAATATGCATGAAGTCCAAAACTTTGTCAGTTTTAATGCATATGTGGGTTTAAAGAGGCATAATTTAAATGAATTTCTTATAAAATATGCATGAAGTACTGATACATTTGATCAATTTTGTAGGGAACTGAAGATGAAGTTGTGGATTTCTCCCATGGTAAGCAACTGTGGGAGCTTTGCAAAGAGAAGTATGAGCCTTTGTGGCTTAAAGGAGGGAACCATTGTAATTTGGAACTCTATCCAGAGTACTTGAGGCATCTCAGGAAGTTCATATCTGCCATAGAGAAATTACCACGTGTTCAAAGTTTACCTGAACCAAGTGCAGATCAATTGGAGTCTTCTCTGAAGACCATAGACAACAAGGAGAAGGCCAGATCAAGCACTGACCAGAAAGAGAAGTCTAGGTCCAGCACTGGGCAGAGAGAAAAATCTAGACTGAGCACAGACGGCAGAGAGAAATCAAGAACCAGCACTGATAAGAGAGAGAAGTCAAGAAAGAGCACCGATCGATCTGGCAAGGCAAGAAATAGCACGGATCAGTCAGAGAGAGCTAGAAACAGCTTCGACCGGTGAGTTAAACTATCAACGATTTTCTTTTCGTTTCCTTTACAATTCTTCTTTAACAATGACAGTTGAAATTCAATGGTTGCAGCTTGGGAGATATGGTGAGGTCGGTTGGATTGTGTAATGTTGATTGTCTGAAGCATGCTGCATTAGAGGCCTGAGGTAGAAAGGTTGAGTGCTCCTACTTGGATTGTAATTTGTTTAGAGACTGAAATGTTTGGTTGATGGGATGTTTGGATGAAGGGAATGATTTTTCCCCCATGGTTTTATCATATGGTAACAGGCTCACGTGCAGCCCCATTCCTCATGGGGTTCTTCTTTCTCTTCTGTTGTCTCCTCAATCTGATATCTGATAAAATAAATTGCAGCTTTGTTCTGTATTGTTGAATGTTTTGGTACATAAGCTACAATATACATTGACAATGTTGGCATCCGTGTCAATTGTAGCTCTGTTTTATATTGTACTAGTTTGATAGAGTTGAGTTAGCAAAAGGAGGGGAGAATTGCCACAAGACATGGAAACAATCGTTCACCCCAGAGGAGATGGTGTGTGGGACTGGGCACACTGAACAGTGTTCCAGCCTCTCTCCTTTTTCTGAATCGGGACTCTGAGCTTATGGATCTAGCACTAAGGCCCAAATGAAAGGCCTTGTAATGATTCAGTGTGTTGTTTGTGCATGCGTGCCACCATCTTCAGTCCAAACACAAACATGTCAAACATTTAACTTCGTGGTCATGTTCTGCCTGAAACTAATTTAGATCCAATACTTGTTTTAAGGGATTTCTCTCACAGCCCCATCACACATGTTGCCATGTTTGTCAAAGAAAAGAGACCATATACGATACGAACATGAATTGAATGTAAAGAATTGAGTTTGAATTTCTTCAAGTGTGACTCAAATCTCAAGCCTTTTACTTCCCATTTTTGAACCTCAATTGGTGCTTGGAAAGCTAATACAATCCGCAGAGCATGCAAAGTCATATTGTGAAGTAATTTGTGGCTATTGCAAACATTTTAATTATTAATTAGATATTTAATTGGGTTGGAAATTTGGAACATGACCAAATTCCCAGTAAAAATTAAAATTTTGGCAATAAAAAAGAAAAGAAAAATTAAAAAAGAAGAGGATATTGTTGTGGTAGCTGAAATGGCAGAATATAGGCCTCACAATTCCGCAGAACAAAGCTCCGAGTCCAAACAAAAGGGAAAAGCCCCAAAGTTTTGATCTTTCTAGAACACTCCAACCTCCTACTTAAAACTGCTAAACCCTCACCAAGTCACAAGGGTTTTTACGCTTTGAGACTCTGTTTGACACAACACAACACAACTTTCGCCCCCAACCCAACATCTGTTAGGTTTAGGGTTCAATGGCTCCAGTTCTAAGCAGAAGCTTAGCAACTGCTTCTCTAGCTTCGCTTCCTTCGTCATCTCCCTTCACACTCAGAAACCCCAGCAAGGCCTTGAGCCTGAGAAGTGCTTTTGTTCCTCAAAATGGGCTCAGGAAGGGCTTCTCTTGCGGTGGATTGAAGTGGAAGCTTGAGAGCAAAAACAGAGGAATATCTATTCGATGTGATGCGGCGGTTGCCGAGAAAGAAGCCACCGATACGCCCGGTGAAAAATTCGAGTACCAAGCCGAGGTGCATCCCTTTCTCTGTTTCGATAAATTTTTGGTCTTTTGTATTCTTACTCAATTGGGTTTTGAATTCTATTTACTCTCTGTTTGGTTTTGGAATCCATCAACTGCTGCTCTGTAATTGCAGTAACCCAGTGACTAAAATTTATAGGAAATCTATAGGCTTTTATGCATTTTTGCTGTTTCCTCGCAATCAAAATGGACGCTTTGGTACTAAATTATGGGTCTTTGTCACTGTTTTGGATAGAAAATGAAAATAAATTTTTTAATCGGCTTAGTACTCATTACTTGAGAGGATTTGGTTATTGGGTTTTGAGTTTGGAATCGAAAGTTGATGACTTTGAAACTTATTGCAGGTCACTCGCCTAATGGATTTGATAGTTCATAGTCTATACAGCCACAAGGAGGTGTTTCTGAGGGAGCTTGTGAGGTGAGCTGCATATGCATAAACTTCAATGCAACGTGTCATTCTGGTGACACCTATACGATATGCTATTTCTGCTTGTAGAATCTGCTCCTTCGTTTGTTCTTTAGATGAGTATCGTATAATTTGCTCACTATGATATGTTTTGTATTTGCCTTTCTTTTTGGTCCATATGTTGACTTTATTTTGCTTTCTTGTTCCAGTAATGCAAGTGATGCTTTGGACAAGTTGAGATTTTTGAGTGTGACTGAGCCCTCTCTGCTTGGAGATGCTGGTGAGCTACAGATACGCATCAAACCTGATCCAGATAATGGGACTATCACTATAACGTATGTTTTTGTAAATCTTTGCTTCATTTTTGTCCCTGGATGGATTAGTGGAGGTAATTGAAATCTGATTCTCTGACTTTTAGGGATACTGGTATTGGAATGACGAAAGAGGAACTCATTGACTGCCTTGGAACCATTGCTCAGAGTGGTACTTCAAAGTTCTTAAAGGCTCTGAAGGTGTCTCTCTCTCCCTTTCTCTCTTGCCTCTCACAACCGGGCATTAGTTATTGCATCTGTTGAATGCATTATATTTCAGTTTGTTATTTCTGTGTGAATGATTTTTGAGGTTTTTGATGCTTTTGAAGCTTACTTCTCAGCCTTATATTTTGGTAGGAAAATAAGGATCTTGGTGCAGACAATGGCTTAATTGGTCAATTTGGTGTTGGGTTCTATTCTGCTTTTCTGGTCGCTGAGAAGGTGCAGTAGTGTTTTCACAATTATTATGCGTTTTTCTAACTATCTTCTTGTAGCTGAGCTTTTAACGTGGATGGCTTTCCTGGGTAGCTGCTAATTGGCTTGTATATATTATACAAAATCAGGTTGTTGTCTCTACAAAAAGCCCAAGGTCAGACAAGCAATATGTTTGGGAAGCAGCGGCTGACAGTAGCTCTTATGTAATTAGGGAAGAAACTAATCCTGAAAATCTCATACGCCGTGGAACACAGATCACACTCTATTTAAGGGTACCTTACCTGCTACTTCATTTCTCTTTTCATGGCATTTGGTCATTTTGCATGTGACTTTTCTTGTTTATTGGGCGTTGAAGTTATGCCCAGCAATTGCCAGATGTTGACACATTAAAGTCATTATCTTTTGTTGGGACAGTCCATTGCTTATTTTTCAATTTATTCTGATGTCTTACCAAGAACTATCTTAAAGTTAAATCTCTCCTTGCAGCCGGATGACAAGTATGAGTTTTCAGAGCCAGCCCGGATCCAGGGTTTGGTGAAGAATTACTCGCAGTTTGTTTCCTTCCCCATCTATACATGGCAAGAAAAATCAAGGACTGTTGAGGTGAGTACTTCATTTTCTGCTTTGTCAAACCCTTTCCCTGTATATGGCAGGTTTTGAAGGGATTAGTACAATTGGATTTCTGCATGTGGTTGATCTTTTCCTAAATGGTTGGACTGTTACTTCTTGATTAGTTGAAGGTGCATGTCAAATGTACATTGTAGGTGATAATCAGAAAAGTATTGCTATCAAAATGTGACTCTCTGGATAAGTAGTCTTTATTGGCTTGACCTTGCAAACTAATCCTTGAGGCTATATTTCTTCTATACCTCACGGTTATATGCTTAAGAAGTATCTACTGTTCATATAATGAAGCAATTAGCACTTTTGCCGGTCCTCATTGAGTGGAAACTTTTGGCAGGTGGAAGAGGAGGAAGAACCAAAAGAAGGAGAAGAACCAAAGCCAGAGGTAATTGACATAGGATTCCCGATTGTGGGAAATGTAGTTTTTTCTCATCAACTTATACAGTGAAATAAGTTACTTTGATTCTTACCAGGGTGAGAAGAAAAAGAAGACAAAAACTGAGAAGTATTGGGATTGGGAATTAGCAAATGAAACAAAGCCTATATGGGTGAGTTGAAGACATAGCGTTATTGATGTCATGGTATAAGTATTTTAGATTCAGCATGCTCTGTTTGCCTAATGTGTATGTATTTTCTTGTTATATATTTTATAGCCTTTTCTTATATAATTTTTGTTTTTGTTTTTGTTCTTCTGCAGATGCGGAATCCAAAGGAAGTTGAAAAAGACGAGTACCATGAATTTTACAAAAAAACTTTTAGTGAGTTCTTGGATCCAGTTGCATACACTCACTTCACCACTGAGGTACTGAAATGGTTTCTCTCTCTCGCTCTCTCCCTCTCTCCCTCCATCCCTCTCTCTCTCTCTCTCTCTCTCTCGTTGTCTGTTGTTTGAATATTGGTTGAGGTAGAAAATTTAGCAGATTTGGAGTTTTAACTTTGAAATCTGTGCAGGGTGAGGTGGAGTTCAGGAGTGTTCTTTATATTCCTGGAATGGGGCCTCTTAACAATGAGGATGTAGTGAACGCAAAAACAAAGAATATACGTTTGTATGTGAAACGGATATTTATCTCAGATGATTTTGATGGTGAACTGGTAAGTTTCGATATATTGCAAAACGATGTGAATTTGAGCTTCCATTAGTTCGTCGTCTTTGTTTCATGTTAGTGGTGATCTTCCTTGTTTCATATACTGTTGCACATTAAGTTTCCTTTGTGATTTATTTTATGATGGAAAATAATTGTATATTATTAACAATGCTGGTGTTGACCGTTTAATTTGTATTTAAATTGGAAAATGGAGTATTCCTTAATACTCTTTTAGATATGAGATGTTCTAATCTAAAGAAGAGTTGTTTTATCCTTCATCAATGGATTTGTTTAGATGTTATAGTCAATTCCCTCTGCTACGATTGTGCTAGTTCAGCATAAAAGTGGTCTATTGATGGTATTCAACTTGTGATGTACCATCCGGAATGTTGAAAATACATTTTGGGGTTGATGCTTAGTTGTTTGGTAATATGGTTTGTGGCTGTAACACCTTTATTCTTTTTGCAGTTTCCTCGATACCTGAGCTTTGTTAAGGGTGTGGTGGATTCAAATGATCTTCCTCTTAACGTTTCTCGAGAGATTCTTCAAGAAAGTCGAATTGTAAGCCTTAGTTTTTCCACTATCTTTATGCATTTTATGAAGGAAATGCTATTATTCTTACAAATTTGTGAATGAACATCTCTGTAGCAGTTAATATTTAGTTCTTTGTTCTTGCTATGTGCTTGGATATTTGTATTATTTCTTCATCTCAATCTGTCTACCATTTTCAGGTAAGAATTATGAGAAAGAGACTTGTACGGAAAACATTTGACATGATTCAAGAGATTTCTGAGAGTGAAAATAAAGAGGTTGGTGGCAGCAATTAAGTTTGTGTTTTATTCTTCAATTCCACCTGAAAGGCTGAAAATTGTTATTAACTTGGAAAATGGTTGAACTTGATCCCAGGATTACAAGAAATTATGGGAGAACTTTGGCAGGTTTCTAAAGTTGGGATGCATCGAGGACTCTGGAAATCACAAGCGCCTAACACCCTTGTTGCGGTTCTACTCTTCAAAAAGTGAGGAAGAACTGATAAGCTTAGATGATTATGTCGAGAACATGCCTGAGAACCAGAAGGCAATCTATTACTTGGCAGCAGACAGTCTGAAAAGTGCGAAAAGTGCTCCATTCTTGGAAAAGTTGGTTCAGAAAGATATTGAGGTATCTGTCCTGCTGAATTTGGCGGTAGTCCAGTAGAGAGGAACAATGGTGATTGGTATAGAAAATCTGATTTGCAAGCTAGTGGTAGAAAAAGACAAGACGATTATGTTTTCCTTTTAAATATTTTGGAGGAACGGAAATCTTAAACATCATTAAAAAATAATTGGTCTCAGAAACAATTGTTTTTCCTTCGTGATGAGTTTTCCTCCCCAGGTTGCTGATGCTGTTTCTTTTGTCTCAGGTTTTGTATTTAGTAGAACCTATTGATGAAGTGGCCATCCAGAACCTACAGACATACAAAGAAAAGAAGTTTGTAGACATTAGCAAGGAAGATTTAGAGCTTGGTTAGTACTCGCCCCTAGTTGTTATTTGGAAAATTAATCAGCATGTTCAGATGTTATTGGCAGTTGTGTTACTATGTTCAGCTTTGTGGCTTCCTTCTTGTTATCTTTCTCATGTTTCTCACCAAAAAGTTTATGATGCCAGGTGATGAGGATGAGGTCAAAGAAAGGGAAACTGAACAAGAATACAATCTTCTCTGTGACTGGATAAAGCAACAACTTGGTGATAAGGTGGCGAAAGTCCAAGTCTCAAAGCGTCTAAGCTCATCTCCCTGTGTACTTGTTTCTGGCAAGTTTGGATGGTCTGCCAATATGGAAAGGTAAATTTTTGTTTGCACTAAGGATACATACCAAGAAAAGTTCTGGTTAATTGTTACCTTCCCTTGCTATGATTATGATAAAAAAATTTGCTTTTGCAGATTGATGAAAGCACAGGCACTTGGTGATACTGCAAGTTTGGAGTTCATGAGGGGCAGGAGAATATTGGAAGTTAACCCAGATCATCCCATCGTTAAGGACCTAAAGGTAGGATCATGAGACTGCTCTTATTAAACAGTAGATCGAATATGTGAGATAGATGCATCAAAATGTGAATGAGAAAAACGAAAACAAAAATTTCATGCTTTCATGTGGTGTCAGGAGAACTATTCCTGACTGGAAGTAGAAGACTTAAAATCACTGGATTGACAGTTGTTTTCTACTGCAGGCTGCTTGCAAGAACGCCCCTGACAGCACAGATGCCAAGAGAGCTGTAGACCTATTGTATGACACAGCATTGATCTCCAGTGGATTCACAGTAAGGAGCAAGCCTTTGTTTTTCCTTTGTTGAAATGTCAGTATTAGAGTAGCTTTATGCCATTCTTACTTCTTTCTTCGATGACTCAGCCTGACAGCCCAGCTGAGTTGGGAAACAAGATATACGAGATGATGGCAATGGCCCTTGGAGGAAGATGGGGTAGATCGGAAGATGAGGAGGCAGAGACGGAGGTAGCTGACGGTGATGCAGGAGAATCATCTGATGCGAGTGCTGGTGAAGCGGTGGAACCACAAATAATTGAACCATCAGAAGTGAGGGCAGAGAGCGATCCATGGAGCGACTGAACGTCGGGCAGAAATGATGTTTTATATAAAATTTTTGGCAATATTTGATTAGCCTTTAGAAGAAAGCATACGGTCGCTAACTTGGTATGAGGGAAATGCATGCCTTTGGTTATGTGGACCTATGCTTTTGCCAATTTCCACCTTACGAGAAACAATTCAATATTCTCAAATACAGAGGACTCTTTTTCGCCTCCATAAATATTTTCATGCATGAAGAAACTGGAAAACGGTGGCGGTCTTCATGCTCAAGATGTAGTGATTGAAATTAAAATAAATGATCCACCAACTCTGCAGAATATAATGTCCTCCACTGCCAATGCAAGTTTCACGGATCATGATCATCAAACGCGTATGGTTAATCTAAGGCTACTAAATTTGTAACCTAGCACATTCACTAAAACAGAGGCCTAGGCAAGGGGACGCTCAAATTAGATTCTGGCCACTATATGGAGAAATTCTTGTGTCCAGCGGGTGAATTACATCACCTGTCCACACATAAACAAGAGAAACAAGAAACTCTTGGGATGGGTGACGTGATCCATCTATATGAAAGGAAAAAAATTATATAAATAGATAATTTGATCAATAATGATTAACTAATTGCATAACAGTAACATGTATACAAATTAAAAGAGTGATTAATACAACTAGCGTCGCTCACTTAAGGACTTAAAAATGAGGACTTGTGAGCAACTCTTTAATACAAGCCCTTAGATTAATCTAACACTACTTGTTAGTAATTTAAATGCTCACTCATATCTTTTGTTTTACCAAAAAAATCAAAAAAGCAAAACACGTTGAAGCTCAGATACGAGGAAGGCCCAAATGACAAACCACGATGGCAAACCCCAGCCCACGGGACCATATTACTGCTATTAAATGAGCCCAATTAATCATTCCCGACAACCCACAAACCGACTTGTAATTTGAGTTGTAAAACGGACTTGGAAAATCTCGGGTAGAAGACCCAACGGCTTTATCAGAAACACAGAAAACGTAGGTTTAAGGAGGGTTTAAAGGCGGCTACTCAACCCAGTCACACCCTTCCGCCCTGCCTCCTCGATCGCCCGTGACCGTCCAATTCGTTTGTAGATTTTTTGTTTTTAGAAGTAAAACTTGTAATTTTCTAATAGCTTCCGACTTTTTTCTCCAATTTTCTGCTTCTTCGACAATTTAAGATTTTCCTTTTTGATGTCCCGTATCATATTTTCCATTCCTCTGTATCTTTCAGCACCTGCAAGTCGGATTGATTAATTTGAAAATTTTACTGGGAAATATGTGGAGAAACTTGGCTAAACAAGTTGCTTCGAGAAAGACCAATCTCTCCTCCCAATCTCATTTTAGTTCCCCTTCTTCTACTTCTATGATATTTTCTCAAGAATCGAGCTTTCTCGAGAAGGCCAGGCATTTCGAGGCTCGGAAATGCATAAATAATCGGATTTTGGCAATGGGTTTTCGTCAAGTTGGTGATATGGCTTCTCAAAAGGACGAATTGGGCAGATGCAGTTCACTGAATCCAAGTTGCCCTTATGGCATTTCTGGGTTTTGCAACTACGCCAAAGGCTATGCCAGCGTTGCCGAGGCCATTGCTTCGACGGATGGCGAGGAGGACTCGTCGGGGTCTGAAGAAATTCAGGAAATGTTGGAGGATTTGATCAGAGAAAACAACATGGTGGAGTCCCATTTCAAGCAGCCAAAGAGAGTGGTGGTTGGTATGGGAGTAGGAAAGTACAATCTTCTTCGGAAGAGGCAAATAAAACTGGAGACGGAGGCTTGGCAAGAGGCGGCCAAAGAGTACCAAGAGCTTTTAGCGGACATGTGTGAGCAGAAGCTAGCACCCAATTTGCCATACATCAAGTCATTGTTTCTTGGTTGGTTTGAGCCTTTACGAGATGCCATTGCGGCGGACCAAGATTCCTGCAAGCAACCTAACAGTAGACAGAGTCATGCTCCCTACTTTGATCACTTACCCGCCGATAAGATGGCGGTTATTACAATGCATAAGTTGATGGGGCTATTGATGACAAATAATGGTGGAGTAGGCAGTGTCAGGGTAGTCCAAGCTGCTTGTGCGATAGGTGAAGCCATTGAGCATGAGGTCTGTGAGCTTAGAATTTTCTTATTTCGTAATTCATGTTTCATCTTTATTTTTGACATATGCGGTTCAAATTCACCAAATTTATTTCTGGGAACATTGATAGGTGCGGTGACTTTGATTTTGGTTCTAAGTTTGCTGTAGTATGAACAATTTGGCTAGAACTTTAATTTTAGTTATCGGTCAACTATCAATTTGTTAGGTTTGGTAGAAACTCATTACTTAAATTCCTTATAGGCACAAAAACGTGAACTTCCATTTTGTAGGATTATATACCCACAAACATGAACTTCCATTTTCTTGGATTACATGTATTGCCTTTGTATGAAATTGAGTCGTCTGGCCTCTCATGCCTCCATGACTAATTGAAGGCTTTTCATTAGGTAGTCATGCTTGGTTCAGCTTCCAGTCAGATTAGCAGCTAAATATTATTGACATGCTATTTTCCATTTATTTGTTGGTTTTGAACTTAATGGAGTTATATAAAATAATCATGTGTATCAGGTTAGGATACACAGATTTTTGGAGAAGACAAAGAAGAAGAAGAACACTACTGATAAGAAGGCTGAAGCTGATTCTGTTCCTGTGACCGATGAACAAGAGAAACTGGCCGATGAACAAGGGAAACTGGCCGATGAACAAGAGAAACTTAGGAAAAAGGTTAACAAACTAATAAAAAGGCAGAAAATGCAGCAAGTTAGAGGAATTGTGAAAGAACAAGAAGACTTGAAGCCATGGGGTCAGGAAGCCCATGTTAAGGTCTGTGATGTCTATAGATTCAAATAAGCAAACTATCTTCTTGTTATTGTTGCTATATTATCTTGGTGCTTGTACTTTCCAGGTTGGCTGTCGATTGATTCAGTTATTGATGGACACGGCTTATATACAACCTCCAGTTGATCAAATAGGAGATGGTCCACCTGATATACGCCCTGCATTTGTACATAACCTTAAGACTATTACTAAAGACACACAGTAAGAAATATTCAATCTTTGTGTTTCTTAACCCCGCTCTCTATCACTCTTCTCCTCTTCAAATATCAGTTTATTTATTTATTTTATACTTCTCTGGGTTTCTTGTAATAGGAAGACCAGTAGGAGATATGGCGTTATAGAGTGCGACCCATTAGTTCGCAAAGGCATGGACAAAACTGTAAGTTGAAGTTGAACAGCATGTTTGGCTCATGCTTGCGATTCTAGGTTGTTTCTTTAATGTTTTTGTTCTTGTGTTGTGACTAACAAGGACAATAATCTTACTTTTCATACAAGCGTATGAATACCTGAGTAGCAACTGTACTGATTTCTGTTCTGTCCATGCAGGCAAGGCACATGGTCATGCCTTATATGCCTATGTTGGTTCCCCCTATTAATTGGACCGGGTATGAAGTATTTAGATTAGCTGGACTTCTTAGTTTTGAAGCAACTAGCGAGATTAAGCACTTTGGGGTTTTAGCCAACTCTTATTGCCTGTTCGTATATTTTGGCAGGTATGACAGAGGAGCATATTTATTCTTACCGTCCTATGTAATGCGAACTCATGGAGCGAAACAACAACGCGAAGTTGTTAAAAGGACTCCTAGAAAGCAATTAGAACCTGTTTTTGAGGTTTGAAAGCCCCTGGATCTGTTACTTTTAGTTTCTGCGCTGCATCTTTTCCTGCATTTCTGTTTCCTCAGAAACAGCTCTTAAATGTTTACACCAGTGCAAGGGTTCTTCACTTGTAATTTTTGGAGCTTCTTCTAATCTCTTAATTGTTCTCTGTCTTTAGGCCCTGGATACTCTTGGAAGTACCAAATGGAGGGTAAACAAAAGGGTACTTGGTGTGATAGACAGGATATGGGCTAGCGGAGGCCGTCTTGCTGACTTGGTTGACCGTGAAGATGTGGGTTATGTTTAACTGGAATTTTTTTTTTCCCATACTTGGTGGTGCATACCTTTCCTGTGCTTCTGGGCAGAAGAAACTGGTTTTGATTGACAGAAATTCTATTGTTTTGCTGCAATTTGAAATTAACATGTAATTCAGCACCTTGGTTTTTATCGATAAATGATTTACTTTCACTTTTCTTCCTGCTTTAAAAAGGTTCCTTTACCTGAAGAACCAGACACAGAAGATGAGGCAGAAATCAGAAAATGGAAGTGGAAACTTAAAGCTGCAAAGAAGGAGAATAGTGAGAGGCACTCACAGCGGTGTGATATAGAACTTAAACTTGCTGTAAGAATCATTCTTGTTAAGTTTAATAATCAGTGCTATTGGATACTCTAATACTAAGTTTCACTGAATTGGAATAGGCATCTCGAAAGATGAAGGATGAGGAGGGCTTCTACTACCCGCACAACCTCGATTTCCGAGGTCGTGCTTACCCCATGCACCCATATTTAAACCATCTTGGTTCCGATATGTGCCGAGGCATCTTGGAGTTTTCAGAGGGACGGCATCTTGGAAAGTCAGGCTTACGCTGGTTGAAGATACATTTGGCTAATTTATATGCTGGGGGCGTAGACAAACTCTCCTTTGATGATCGAGCAGCATTTACTGAGAATCACGTAGATGACATTTTTGATTCCGCAGACAGACCTCTTGAAGGAAGGCGCTGGTGGTTGGGTGCAGAGGATCCTTTCCAGTGCTTGGCAGCATGCATTAATCTCTGTGAAGCATTGAGAAGCCCCTCTCCAGAGACTACCATTTCATATATGCCTGTCCACCAGGTAATTCATCTCTCATAATATTCTAATCATATTCTACAAACAATTATAACTTCATTACTTTATTCCGAACCAAGAAACTACCAAAATTGTGAATTCTACATGGTTACAGTTGCATCATCTGGGAAGTTGAAATCACTTCCGTCTTCTGCTGTAAAAAGAAAGATAACCAAAAGGTTTAATTGGTTTGGATTGAATTTCCAGGTACTAAAATGAAGAGATTTTAGAATCAATAGTGGTTGGTTACACATTATAAAATTTTATGATGGATATCATTGGTGGAGAACGATTTTGAGATTTCTATTTCTCCTGTTGCCTTGTCAACTGTGTCACTTTTTATTGAAGTTGAGAGACCATTGGACATCTCCCGTGCTTTGCTATGTTTTGTATTTAGTGATTTGGTACATATGATTCTGTTATCCAAAAAATTGATCTCAGTTCTCTTTTTGTGTTGCAAGGATGGCTCATGTAATGGTTTACAACACTATGCAGCCCTTGGAAGGGACAAGGTAATGAACCCTTTTATTGTTAAAAATTAAGAAAAAGGTTCAATATATTTTAGTTTCAATGTGAAGTTCTTCCAAATCTATGATTATAGTAGTTCATTCACTTGCACCACCGTGTTCATCTTACTCAGATGAGATCTCCAACCCTAGCCTTTTATGCACCCAATGACAGCTTTTGTGGTTGATCACATTGCTTCGACTAAAAAAAATTCTTTACTGAACAATTCGTTTATATCTTAGTGATTGTGTGAGTATTTGTTTTGTTGATCAAATTACTAATCCTTTTTTAGCTTGGAGCTGCTGCTGTAAATCTTGTGGGGGGAGATAAACCTGCAGATGTTTACTCAGGAATTGCTGCCAGGTAACTGTTACTTTCTCCGAGTTGAGTTGGTGAGCAAAAATTCATTTTGGCATGGCATATAAGCATTTGCAACTTTTGCAATAATATGAATTGGATGTAGAAAACTAAGAGGAATCAGCAGCCTAATTCATTCCATAAGAATATCTGTTTTAAAAAGAAGATCGAAATTTGTTGTTTTCCCTAGAAATATACCACTGATAAGTGACATCATTCTTGTTAATTTGTCTAATGAAATTTTTTGTGGCTATGCAGAGTACTTGATATAATGCGCAATGATGCAGAAAAAGATCCTGCCACTAATCCGAATGCATTGCATGCTAGGCTTTTAATTAATCAGGTTAATATCGTTAATCGTGCTTGCCAAAGTGTTAAGATTTTGAGTAATTTTCTTCATTTCTGCTTCTTCGTTACTGCTTAGTATGATGTTTCTAATGCTTGGCTTTGGTGATTGGAAATTTTAGGTGGATCGTAAATTGGTGAAGCAGACAGTTATGACGTCTGTATATGGTGTTACTTATGTTGGTGCACGCGAACAAATTAAGAGGAGATTAAAGGAGCGTGGTTCCATAGCTGATGACACGGCACTGTTTGCCGCAGCTTGCTATGCTGCAAGGGTTAGTGAAAGAAACTGTAGTGTGCTTATGTGTCCAATGTCTATGTGTCTGTCCTTATTGTTTTACTGTGTGAGCAGACCACCTTGACTGCCTTAGGAGAGATGTTTGAAGCTGCAAGAAGTATTATGAGTTGGCTTGGTGAATGTGCAAAGGTATGTTTCATCTACTTTGTGGTCTGTTTGTACCTCATAGTTATGTGTGAATGGCGTGTAACTGTTAATGACTTGAAACCTGAGCACATGCACAAGGGACAGATTCAGATTCTATGTTTGATTAATGATATTAGTGTTGGACCTGTTGGTTGTAAGTTACTTGCTTTTCAGCACCTGCGCCTCGAGCACAAGTCTGAAAGATATCAATTCTTTAAAGTATGAACTGATTCTGTATTGTTATTATACTAGTTCTGACAGTTATATTTGAACATAAATAGGTGATAGCTTCAGAGAATCAACCAGTTCGGTGGATCACTCCCCTTGGACTTCCTGTTGTACAACCGTACCGGCAATTAGGACGGCATCTTGTAATATTTTAAACTTCTTAGAACTTCAGATGTGGCCATATATTTTAATTACAAAAGTACCTTAAAAAACATTTAAGGCCAGTATTTAACTAAGATACCACTTGGAATTGAATGCAGATTAAGACTTCCCTTCAGGTGTTGACATTACAAAGAGAAACTGACAAGGTCATGGTTAAACGGCAGAGGACAGCCTTTCCCCCGAATTTTGTTCACTCCCTTGATGGTTCCCACATGATGATGACTGCTGTTGCCTGCAAAAAGGCTGGCTTAAACTTTGCAGGTTTCTACTGTATTCTTATTTGCTATTTGTTTTCTCTCTTGTATAGGCTAGTAGTCGTTCAAATGTTTGGAGGTTTCCCAATAACTTCTAATGATACAGGAGTGCATGATTCATATTGGACGCATGCATGTGATATTGACGAAATGAATAGGATACTAAGGGAGAAGTTTGTTGAACTCTACGAGGCACCGATACTGGAGAATGTGAGTATCTTTACTTGGTGTGAGTGTGGCGATCCTTGTTTAGTACCAGATAGGCTGCTCTGTCACTTGTGAGATTATGATTCACCAGTTCCCCTTGTTAGAATTTATTTTCTATAAAATTAGTAACGACAAAAAAATGTAACGAACGGTGACATTAGATTAGAAATAATCCTTCACATGATAATAAAAAAATAAAGGGGATTTCGAAGCACGCTCCTTTGCTTGTCACCACAAAAGTTTTTACTTTTTAATAATTCCTGGGCTATTAAAAGAAAAATATTTCCAGCTTTTTAAATTGCATTTCGTACTGTGATCCCAATTTTCTGTATCTTATGAAATTGAAATATGCTCTTCCCATGTTTTGTTGCTTATTTAATTTGTACTTTTATGTTTACAGTTGTTGGAAGGCTTTCAACGGTCTTTCCCCACCTTGACCTTTCCCCCCTTACCAGATCGCGGAGACTTCGATCTCAGAGATGTTCTTGAATCTCCCTATTTCTTCAACTAGTATGAGCCAGATGATTGCAGTGCCCTTTTTGCTTGTTTTAGTTCCTTATATCATTCAATCACAAGGTGATGCAATTTAATTTGTATGAGATTGTCAAGACAAGTTCCCTGCGTGATGCCAAGGAGAACAATTCCGGTGGAAAAAATCTTGATTTGACTGCTGCTATCCATTTGCTGTCCGTACTCTTGTACATATGTCGAGACAAGCTACCTTAAAGAATTAGCTGGAGATATCCCGGGGGCCTCGGCTGTCTTCTGCATCCGCTATTTTAAAAGGATTGGGGAAACAAGATGGTCAACATGCAGCATTCGAGAAACGAACAGCCACATGTTGTAAATCAGAGCAAATTAAAGCACCAAGAACATGAAAAACACTTGGTGAGTTGATTCAAACAAATGGGCAGTGGATGGTTGATGAATATTGTGGAGGTGTTAATTCTTCGTAGATGACGAGTGCAACAGATACGGGTGGGTGTGTCTTTATTAGTGGCTTGCATAAAAGGTCAACATAATTGTTGTCAAGTTCTGTTTGTATATTTTGTTCTTCATTTCAAAGGTAGAGAATAAGTTCTTGTACTGGATTTTTCCCCTTTTGATTCTTTAATCGATTTTGAAGCAAATTCATTATATTTTAATGTGAAAATTACAGAGGTTGAACTTGGAATGCAATACCCTTTTTTTGCTTTGGCGTATTCGCAAGTGTATCGGCTTCCTTGACACCATAATTTCAAAGGCTTTCCTATGAGTCAGTTTATATAAATAACCAAAATCTGCCCTATAAATTAAAACAGACGAGCAAAGTCAAGTAAAATCCTACCCCGGTGTGCATCAAGGAAGATTAGAGGGAAGCTTACTTCTAGGGCCCTGGAAAAATTAAGAATTGAGGTGTTGCATTAGAAATTTCCAATACACATGGAGCCGGTGGCTGCATGTCCAGGGACGAATAGTACATAGGCTATAGTTCTTTCACCTTATTATACACATATCTCCCCAGAAAACATCAATGTTTTTCTGGATTTCAAATGGCTATGGCATGCAGTATACGTACAGGTTGTTCAACTAATGTGTGAAACAATGTAAAATCATGCACCAGGGGACACCACCTGTTTTAACAGGGCAGTGGCATCACTGTATATTGCTATCACATTTGAGAACACGGCAAGACCAATCATGAAAACAGATAAAATCTTGTCCTTTCTTGTTGCTATTTGATGTCGATCTCTGCATCGCAGAAATTTGAAACCAAATCATGGAATGAGAAGTAGGTATTCAGATATCTGATTTAGCTTTGTAACCAAATTGAAATTGATGACAGCTTGTGTGAACTCTTTTTGAATTTATAAGCATCTAAACCAACTCGAGTACAACTCAGCTTTTCCTCAGAATGAATTTACGATGTTATGTAACCTTTTAAGCACATTCATCAATCACTAATCAGGCATTTCAGAGAGATAATCCATATGTAAATGCCTTCATCGCCAGAACATAAAAATTAAACTGGCAGCAGGAAAGATAAATCCAAAATGAAAATGGAATGAAAACAATTGTACGCCACAAAACTCACCTTAGAGCAATGGCAGCAGGAAAGATGAACCCAATGCAAACTGTAGCAGTAGCTCCAGAAAACTGGAAGACATCCCAGATGCTGGGTATAAAATTTGCACCCACGAAGACAACAGAAATGAGCCCAATGGTGCTTAATGCAAACCTACAATTATCTGCAACCAGAGGCCTAGATGAGGGGAAGACGAGGTCATCCAAGTTGAGCCGCAGTGGATAGAAGATAACAGGAAAAACAAGCATGAGGTGCAGGGCATAGCTGATGCGAACAATATCATTGAGCAAATAGCTATAAGGGATGCCAAGGTTGGTGTCAAAGTTGGCTAGCACATCATCATGAGTTGAGTCCCCAAATAGGAGGAACCCGAAAAGGCTGGTCAGTATGTAGACGGAAGAGCACAAAGCCAATGATGTCTGCACAATTGGTTGAATCAAGGAAGAGTCCTCAAGCTCATTGTCGATTGTATGCACTGCAGGAGAAGAAAATTCTCGTTAACGGTTATGCTTTTTCACTTTGAAATAAAAGCTGCATATCATGTTGATCAGCTAGCATACCGTTGAAGTGGCAGATGAAGGCTGTCACAAGAACAGGAACAACTGTGAAGAGATTCCACACCGATGCAATATCAGACACATTAGGAAGGAACCTGGGCATGGAAATACCTCCATAAAAGAATTTAATAACTACGATTCCTGCAGTAATAACTAGAAAAACAACTGCCAGTGCAACTGCTAAAGCAGATGTATATCTCAATGAATCTGCAATCACAAAAAGGCACAAGTTACAGAAATGCTTGATCCATATAATAAAATGGTTGGTGAAGACCAATGACACAGACAGTATTTAACTGCTAAAGCAAAACTTCCATGATAGAATTGTAATTGTGGACAAGTTCTTATGCCATTGAACAACTCCTGGTGAAACCAATGTGTGGATTATTTAGTCACAAGGATTAGTCTTTTTTCTGCGTTCAGTATTACAAAGAATCAGTCTTTATGTACCTATTCTCTTTAAGGATGCCAATGGAGCAAATACAAAAATGGTTGTGAGAAGCAGCACGAAGGTACGCCCGTTCCACCAGTGTTCACCAAACCACCCTTCCAATACTCCAGCATGGTGAACTCCAGTTGAAGAAGTTCCAGACAGCACATCACCTAAGTCACATTGACAGTAAAACAACAAGAATTACTACACATTTACTTGTAATCAAATTGAAAGAAATACATGTGCCAGCATCTTTTGATTTCAACCAGCGCCACCAATTATAGAAACCTAATTACAATACTTCAGACATCATAATTGGTTGAAATTGAAGTGCAGTATCATACAATTTGAATGCTTCTTGTATGCACCAATTAAGTCAGAGCTTTGCACACCTGATTTACTATTGGGGAAGTACTATTATACCGTATGAAGACTGGTAATTAGGAAAAATCAGATTATGGATGGAACCCAATTAAAATTCACACCCAAAAATTAGGACTAGAAATGAAGAAAATTATTTACCAATGATGATCGTGTAGACAATGAGCGTTCCAAGATTGTTCACCAAGATACACAATTGAAACACAACTTTCCCAGCTTTCCCAAAGGCATCCCCCATAACCCCTCCGAAAGACACAACCTTTCCCACTTTGCTGAACCTCAACAACATCTCCACAGAGGCCTCTGTCAAAATCGCAACAAAAATGATCATACCAATCCCAACGCCAAGACCCAGCACTTTCATGGTGGCAGGCAACGCCATAATCCCAGCACCAATAATGGTCGTTGACAGATTAAACACTGCACCAGCAAAAGATGCACCATTGAATTCCTGCACTGCCTGCTCATCGCAGCCCCTCTGATTTGGCAGCAGTGGAGATTCCTCGTTAATGGGTTGCTTGCATTTTCTTGGGTTTTTGGTTTGCTTGCTGTCAGTGGTCATTGTTTTCTTTTTTTGCTGGTTTACAGTGAATGAGAGTTTCTCTTCTTCTCTTGCTTTCACTTTCATGAGGAAATTCGTCGCCGCTTTGTTTGAGTAGTTTGCTTTATCTTGAAAAGCACACGTAACAGAACAAATGGTAAGTTTGCTTTTTTGGTCAACGAATCACGAGACGATGCCTTGACCAACCCAAGAATAAAGAAAGAAGCAAACACGAAGACGATGGTGGTTGAGTAGACTGGTTGCTTGCTGGTGTGGCAATGGCATCCGGGATCCAGCGTCCTTATCCAATAAAATGGTGGCAAGCTATCTGGGTAGACAACGATTTGTCGTCTAGTAATAATTGTGCTTTTAATCTTTAGCACATTAAGCTTCTAGTTCAGCCAATTGTATATGTCACGTGTTTAAGGGTGGTGGCTGTGGTGCAAACAAGTATATGCCACGTGTAGAAGTTTGAGTGGATGATGAGTTTTCTCTCTCCAGGTGTTTTTTTTTGTTTTTGGTCAAAAAGAAACTTTCATTAGCAGGAGAGCAAACCAAACAAATTACAACTCAAAGAACAAGGAAAAAACCAAACCATGCAACAGAATAGAAGTGCATGTAAAGCCATAAACTCAAAGAACCTCATACAAGCTGCTACAAGAAAGAGCCCCACGAAATGGGAATGGTACGACAATCCAAAATCAGAGAGTCATGGCCATCTTGAAACAGCGCAAGCTATGTGGAGGCTCGAGGAGGGCAGGGAAGACCGTCACGATTTAAGATATGCACGAGAGAGGTGGGGGGCCTGGATACCCAGACTTCCGGACTTGACCTTGATAGTGCCATCGACGCAAGATGATCTGCCGCTTCATTGTTTTTCCTACCAGTCCATGCCCAGTTGCAGTTTGAGAAGATGGAGTTGCATTCACGAATCCTTGATATAAGTGGGTATAGATTCCATCTTCCACGTTTTATGTTTCCTTTCACGCTCTCAACCAGCTCTTTGGAGTCAGATTCAAAGCAAACCTCAGATAAGCCTAGCTCAGATGCCCATTTGCAACCTTCCAAACCAGCAATTGCCTCAGCCATGATCGCAGATTCCGCTTGAAAGGATAGGCATTTCGCTCCCACGAACTCACCATTAGCATTTCGTGCAATAAGACCTGCTCCTGCTTTGCCAGAGGATGCCAACCAAGCAACATCAAAGTTAACTTTAATAACATGGGCATCCGGGGTTGTCCAAAAGGTAGGATTTGGAGAGGGTCCTTCGTAAAGCCTCCTCACATTCCTTTTGTTATTCAACGCAGCCATCTCCTCCACTTAGGAAAGAATGGTTTTGATGGCCAAGAGGGGTTGTGGTTTGCATCGATCAAAGACAAAACGGTTCCTTGATTTCCAAATAATCCAGCAAGTAACAGCAATAATGCAAGATATGCGCCTTTTTTTTCCTCCTTAGATTGGAGCCCATCCATGGTACATTTCAGCAACCATTGGTCAAAGGTGGTAATTCCCTGCTTGTCAATTTTATAATTAAGAGGGCCTCCAAACCAAATCAATTCGACCCACGGGCAAAAGAGGAGCAAATGCTTAATAGATTCCTCATGAGCTTGGCATATAGGACATAATAGGGTTCGAGCAATTTTGCGTTTGTGGAGAGCCATCGCTGTAGGTAACCTATCATGGGTCGCACGCCATAGGAAGTTTTTTATCTTTGGCGGGACCTCAGCTTTCCAAATATTTTTCCACACCAAGGGGTCTATCCGTGATGAGGTGGAGGCTTTTCTGGCGGCGACCTCAACCTGCAGGGCATGGATGTAATGGTACCCGGATCGCACGGAGAATCTGCTGTTCTTTTCCCCAGGCCACACTAATCTGTCTTCCTCCCTTCCATTCCCTATAGGGATAAGCTGGACAACAAGCTTCTCCTCGTCAGTAATTGAATCTTGAATCGGGGTTAAGTTCCAAGATTTGGAATCCCAATCAATTAGAGTTTCCACCCTAGTGTTAGGATCAACTGGGGCTTGTAAGTGGGGGTGGAGTTTACCATCATGAAGGGAGGGAATCCAACGGTCTGTCCAAATCTTTGCTTGTCTACCATTTAGAATTTGCCACCGAGCTCCCTGGAGAATGATCTTTCTTCCCTCAAGCAAGCTTGCCCAAGCCCAGGAAGCACGACCGCCTTTCTTTGCCTCAAAGAAACTACATTCCGGGAAATAACGAGCCTTCAAGAGTTGAGCCCATTGGGAATTCGGCTCCATGATTAATCCCCAACATTGTTTGGCTAGCAAGGCCAAATTGAAATCATTAAAATCTCTAAATCCCATGCCTCCCTGATTCTTTGGAAGCCCCAAAGTAGCCCAACTAATCCAATGCACTTTTATCTCATCCTGTTTTTGACCCCACCAGAACCTAGCAATCTCATGTTCCAGCTTTTGACAGAAGGATTTGGGGAACTTAAAAATTCCCATGGGGTAAGTTGGAACCGCCAGAGCGACTGATTTAATCAGAATGTCCCTTCCAGCTTGTGATAACAAACCTTGCTTCTATCCTCCAATCTTTCGCAGCAACCTTTCCTTCACAAAATTCAGAGCCTCACATTTTGACTTGCCCCAAAGAGTAGGCAAGCCTAGGTACTTTCCAGTACCCGTAACAATTGACATGCCTAGGATAGTTCCCAGCTCTCTTTTCAAGTCGTCGGGAGTGTTGGGACTGAAGAAGACACTAGATTTTCCCAAATTGATCTGTTGCCCCGAGGCTCTGCAGTACCCATTTAGAAGATTCATCATGTTGCGACAATTTTGAGCATTTGCCTTAAGAAACAATAAGGTATCGTCCGCGAAGAGTAAGTGAGAAGGATCGGGCCATTCCTACAAAAAGAGAGACCCTGCAATAGCTGTGCATCACAAGATTTTTTTATTAAGGAAGATAGAGCCACACTTACAAAAAGGAACAAATATGGTGAAAGGGGGTCGCCTTGACGAATCCCGCGGGTAGGCTTGAAATAGCTTCCTGGCTTGCCATTAATAACCAAAGCTAACTCCACAGATTTGACCAAGCTCATGATCATCCTCACCCACTTATCAGCGAAGCCCAACTTCCTCATCATGGCCTCCAAAAAATTCCATTCGACCCTGTCGTACGCTTTATTCATATCCAGTTTCATGCCCAATGCATATAACTTGGTGGACTTTCTAAGCTTTAACAGATGGAAAGCCTCATGAGCAAGAAGGATATTGTCTTGTATTTGTAGGTTTGGGACAAAAGCATTTTGAGCAGGGGAAATTATCTCAGGAAGAAACTGTTTCAGTCTATTGGCCATCACTTTTGAGATAATTTTATAGGAATAATTACACAGGCTAATTGGGCGATACTGAGTAACAGACTCAGGATTTGGGACTTTGGGGATTAATACAATGTTGGTGCTGTTTAGGATAGTAGGATTACAACTTTCAGCAAAAAAATCCTTCACAATGCCTTGAACCTCCCTGTGGATTATGTCCCAGTACTGCTGGTAGAAAATCCCATGATACCCGTCCGGCCCCGGGGCCTTAAGGGATCCCATTTGCATTGCTACCTCTTTAATTTCTTGAGAGGAGATTTCCTGTAATAATGTAGTGTTAATGTCCTCTATAACAACAGGATCCACACAAGATAGAATATCTAAGTCATCCTCCACACACTCAGTTGAGAAAAGACCTTTAAAATGTTCCTCAATCACTCTTCTTGTAGCATTTTGCCCGGAGTACCATTGGCCATTATTCCCTTGGATTCGCAGAATACGGTTTTGTCGCCGTCGAGCAATGGTGGAGTGGTGAAAAAAAGTAGTATTCCTGTCTCCTTCATTGAGCCATTTTACTCGAGATCGCTGGTGCCAGTATGTCTCCTCCCTAGCCCAAGTCTCATTTAAGTTACTTGTGATTCTTTTGATCTCCTCATAGTTCTCCTCCCACCTTCCTTGTTTATCTTGAAGCTCAGCCTGCAAAACTGCTACTCGTTTCCTGTTGTTTGTATATTTTTCACGGCTCCACTGGGTAAGCAACTCAGTACACTTTTGAAGCTTTGTTTGCCACTTATCAATCCACTGTCCGTTGGCATTAGTACTCTAGCCATGATCGATGACTTGACGAGACTCGCGATCCTCCACCCAAAAGGCTTCAAATTTAAAAGCTCGTTTCCCCCTGCTGAAATGATGATCAGTTTCCACAATGATAGGATTGTGGTCTGACCCAATTGCAGGGTAATGGGTAACCGTTGTGTTTGGCCATTCCTCTTGCCACAAACAGTTAACTAGGCCTCTGTCAAGCCTTTCCTGTATAAACTGATCATTTTGCCGTCGTGCTCGCCAAGTGAAGCACGACCCATTATATCCAAGATCCATCAATGCTACCTTCTCCATAAAGTCACGTAGATATCTCGGACGATTTGGTGGATAAAGTTGCCCCCCACTTTTTTCAAAAGACCACAAAATCTCATTGAAGTCCCCACCACAAAACCAAGGAATGTTCATTGGCTGAAGCTCAAGCTCCAATCTGTTCCAAAAGATCTCCTTCTCTTCCCTGTAAGGCGTCCCGTAAACCCAGGTAGCCCTGCCTTGTGTGCCCGTGGTCATATCCGATATTTTTGTATCAATGAAATTTTGAGAAAAACTCAAAATCTCAAGGTTGATATTCGTATCCCACCATAAGCATAGCCCTCCTGCAGTACCAATGGGAGGAATACAAAAGCCATGCTGATAATTACAACTTCTTCTTACTTTCTCCATCCTATTGTTTCTTGATTTTGTCTCCATCAAGAACACAACAGTGGGTCGGTATTTGCGGATCAACTCCCGCAGAGCACTAACTGTCAAGTCCGACCCAAGGCCTTGACAGTTCCACAAGATGTATATCATGGCTCCCTTGTGGCTGTTGTAGGCCAGCCGCCACCGCCCCTGGTCGGAACACCCGCCTCATAGTTTAACACTTGTTTGCCTCCCTGTTCCCACTGCTCCGCTTGGATGATATTGACTTCCGTAAGGTTTTCTTCCTCAACAGTCACTTGAGACCTTCTTGTTGAGCCGTTGGTGGTACTGGAATCGCCATGGTTGGTTTTCCTTGGCTTATACACCCTCCTTCTTGACTTCCCTTCAGAAACACTCTCTTTTTTATTCTGTCCTCCTTCCTCCGTATTTCCTTTTCTATGGGTATTTTTCTGTTTTTTCCCAGGGGAGCCAACGTTGGGTCTCCTCGCATATTCGTTATGGCGCTTCAAACCTAGATTATGAAGCATGGTGCTGACTTGTGAGACAACCCTTGTAGAAGATACAGTGATTGCTGGCCCGAAAGGATTTTTGAAAAGTGGTTCCACCTGGATTGGTTGCCCAAAGGGCCCAAGGTCCAAACTATCCTCTTTGTGATTGGGCCCGGGCTTGCACCAATTTGTGACAGACTGATTTCCTTTGGTCATATTGGTGTGGGCCCATTCAATACTTCTTTCTGTTGAGTTAGGGCTAGAGTGGGTCCCAGAGGTATTTGCAGCCATGTTTTGATCATTTGGAAGCAAGAATGCTCTCCAGGTGTTTTGGTTAACCAACTTCATGAGTTTTATGTCATCATGTGCTAAGTTCGATCCGTCTTCAGTTCGTCTTCAATCCGTCTCCCCATGCATCAGAGTGGATCAGATGCAAGGGCTAGTTTAGTTATTTCACGTAGTTGTGCATAGACTTTTTCATGCCTCCAGCTTCTTTGTAATGTCAAACACATCTCTTAGTGCTTACCTTGCATTGCATCACATCAACTCAGCATGGTCCTAATATATGGCAAAAAGAAAGAGTCTACCTTCTTAAAGTAAAGTAAATGACCATTCATGAATTTCAAACCTTGATTATAAATAAAACCAATGCATATCTTGAAGAAACTACTTAGTCAATCCTATAGGAATTAATTAAAGAAGAAGAAGAAGGACTATACGTAACACTGACCAGTATCAGAGGCTTTCTTCTGTATGCTAGTAATTCATCTGATAGAAACTTCCAACCAAACCAGAAGTGATTGATAGCTGACCAAGTCTTTTGTGCCTGCTCTTGAGTCTATCAACACAAAAGGTATCTAACTAAATAAAAATTACTATCGGTGAGATCACACAAACATTCAAAGAGCTATCAGTGACTCGTAATTGAAAGTTTCATCTTTGCCAAGTCTTCTGCTTAGCACTCTGGTTTTGTGGTTTTGTGGTTGAGGTTCACAACAGCAAGGCTATATAGTGCAGACCAACTACAACTGGATGCCGGTAGGAGCCTTCATATGCATTTTTTTCTTCTTCTTCTTTCTTTTTAGCCTTTTACAATTCTTATGCGTTTGAGAAATGAAAATCAAGGCTCTGGGAAGCTTTCATACGTCTATCTACAAAGTGGTAAAGTTCTACCGTTTACGAATTAGTTTCCCAGGTAACTTTTGAATGATACAAGCATGCTAGCTGATATATCTGTCACCAGGTATAAGTAGTACAAAAACAAAAACATGAAACTATTAAACTGAATAACCTTTATTAACTCACTAATTTCTTGGTGGCAGAAAATCTGTATCACTAACTTTATTTTGTGGGAGTATCTTAAGGATGAAAACGAAGGAATCTTTGTCTATAGAAAAATAGATTCCTTAACTTCATAGATGCATGAGTGTGGTAAAAGACTAATCTGTATCATTCTTTTCTTCAGCTCAAGGAAGATGCAAGTCCAGTTGAAAGTCTTGCAGATTCCATATTGGCATCCATTTCAGAAATCACAGAATTGGTAGTAAGCATCGAGGTGGAACACGAAAATTTCATTGAGATTGCTTGCTACCTCTATCGGGCTTCTATGGCCATAATGGAGTTGAAGATGACTGACACCTGCCCAGAAAATGCAATGGAAATTCTGCAGTCTATTTCCAAAAGTGTTAATCTGGCCAAAGATCTTGTGGAGAGATGCCAAATAGGCATCCAACCATTCTCAGATCCTGAACTGAGAATCATTATAGCACAGCTGGAGGAGGTCATTAAGCGCATAGGAGAATGCCTGAGCTTGATACCGCCCTCCACATTTGGAGACCAACAATATGCAGAAGTTGCAGTGCGGTCGCTTTCAAAGGAGATGCAGAATGCTCATTTTGAAGCTCAAACATCTGAGACCAATGAACAAGATACAAAGATGCTGTCCTTGGAAGAGCAACCAAAGGAAAAACAAACACCAAAAGAAGAAACAGATCTCTACTCTATAGATTTTGAGGTTTCCACAGAGAATCCTCAGCTCTTAAATACACCTCAGCTGATTGAAATCCTTAAAAGCACAAGTTGGGTCAGCAAAAGAAAACATGGGAGCATGAGTGGATCATTAACAACATTTCCACAGGTGGGTGAGTACATGGAGCCTCTGTATGAGACTTTCTTCTGCCCACTGACAAAGAAGATAATGGATGACCCGGTAACCATAAGAAGTGGAGTGACCTACGAGAGGAAAGCAATTGTTAAGTGGTTTGAGAAGTTCAACGACTTGGAAGAAATTTTCTGCCCAATCACTGGACAAAAGTTGATGAGTAAATCTTTCAATGCCAACATAGCTCTGAAATCCACATTAGAGGAGTGGAAGGAAAGGAATCAGGCAGCAAGGATTAAGGTTGCGCGTGCAGCATTGTCCTTGGCTAGTTCAGAGAATATGGTACTTGAAGCAGTAAAGGACGTGCAAAGTATCTGCCAAAGGAACCCTTACAGTAAGGTGCAAGTTCGGAGTGTTGGAATATTGCCATTGCTTGTTCAGTGTCTGGAGTACAAAGACAAAGATGTTAGATGTGCAGTGCTGGAACTTTTGAGGCAACTGGTGGAGGATGATAATGACAGCAAGGTCAAATTTCAATTTCCTCATTTCTAATGAGAAACAACCAATTAAGGAAAGTACTATGATTTACTAAAACATGCACTAACCAAACCAGTAGATTGACTAGAATGAAAACTTTTTTGCTCCAACTTTGACAGTGGTTTCTTGTGCAGGAAATGATTGCGCAAACAACGAATATTTCAACTATAATCAAGATGCTTTCTAGTAGTCACCAGTCCATAAGGCATGCATCATTGCTATACTTGCTTGAGCTTTCAAGATCACAATCATTATGTGAGAGAATTGGATCAGTCACTGGAGCAATCCTTATGTTGATCAGGATTAAATATAGACGGTCTATTGATGCCTTTGCTTCAGAAAAAGCAGATGAAATCTTAAGGAATTTAGAGCATTCGCCAAATAACATAAAAAACATGGCAGAAAATGGATTCCTGGAACCCCTCCTAAAGAATCTTACTGAAGGTAATTTCCACAACTCCACAGTTCCAGCCAAGCATAAATAACAAAGAAATTCAAACTTTTTGGACCACTAATTTTACCATTGTGACCATTCTGCAAGTTCAGATTAAATGACATATGATAATTTAGTTGTTGAAAATCTCAAATGTTATCTTATAATTTTTTTTCTTTTTCTCTGAAATAACAGGTTGTGAAGAGATGATGATGGAAATGGCAAGTTACCTTGGGGAAATTGTTCTTGGACATGACAGCAAAACTTATGTTGCTGAGAGGGCCTCTCCTGCTCTCATCAAAATGGTACATAGGGGAAATACCCTGACCCGAAGGGCAGCATTCAAAGCTCTAGCACAACTCTCATTATACCAGCCAAATGGAAAAATACTTGAAGAAGCAGGAATTGTGCAAATCATGGTTGAAGAGATGTTCCTTAGAAATATTCAAAATGAGCCAATGAACTCAAAAAATGAAGCAGTTGCAATCCTTGCAAATATACTTGATGCTGGGATTGAGCTTGAGAACCTCCAGGTTAATTCTCACGGTCACACCATGACTTCGGACTATGTGGTGTGTAACATCATGTACATGCTCAAGAACTCTACCTCAGATGAACTAAACAACAACCTCATCAGAATTCTTTTGTTTATTGCTAAGATCCCCAGATGTGCAGCCACCATTGTCTCACTGGTAAAAGAAACTGAAGCAAGCTACACCCTCATTGAATTCATCAATAACCCACATGAAGAACTTGCCATTGCCGCGACCACGCTACTAACTGTTCTTTCACCCCTTATGGGCAATGTGCTAGCAGAAAGACTCTGCAAAACCAGAGGACAGCCTGAGGATCTTGTACAGAGCCCAACTGATACAACCCTCATCACCGAGAAGCAGGCACTTTCAGCTAAATTTCTAGCTCAACTTCCCCATCAAAACCTGACGCTCAACCTAGCTCTTCTATACAATAATACAGTGCCTACAATCCTAGAAGCAATCAGTCAAATTCAAAAAAGAGGAACAAGATCAACCAGGTTCGAAAGCGCTTACTTAGAAGGTCTAGTAGGCATTCTAGTCAGATTCACAACAACATTATATGAACCTCAAATACTGTTTTCAGCAAGAACACACAATTTTACAGCAGTATTCACAGAACTACTCATACAACCATCAAGTGATGAAGTTCAGAGGTTATCAGCAATTGGGTTGGAGAATCTTTCTACAGAGTCAATAAGATTATCCAAACCACCACAAATCAAGAGAAAGAAGTTGTTCTACCTGCCCAAGTATCTATTCTGTCGCTCATCAAGGAGGAGTAAAATACCACTGTGCCCGGTTCACAGAGGGGTCTGTTCTTCACAAAACACCTTCTGCATAGTTGATGCAAAGGCAGTTGAGAGGCTATTGGTTTGTCTGGGAAATGAGAATGCAGAGGTTGTGGAAGCTGCATTGTCAACTATATGCACTTTGCTGGATGACAAAGTTGATGTGGACAAGAGTGTGAGCATGCTGAGTGAGGCAAACGCTGTGCAACAAGTTTTGAATGCAGTGAAAGAACACAGGGAAGAGGGGCTGTGGCAGAAGTCATTTTGGGTGATTGAAAAGTTCTTGAACAAAGGTGGGGATAAGTCTGCTTCAGATATATCAAACGACAGGGTGTTGCCTGCCATACTGGTGAATGCTTTTCATCATGGAGCTGGAAACACCAGGCAGATGGCTGAGAAGATTTTGAGGCATTTGAATAAGATGCCCAATCTCTATACTTCCAACTATACCATGTAAAACCGTCTGTCCACTATCATGGTCATACATTGTAATGGTGCTTTTCAGGAACTGTCAACTGCCAACTGCCAGTTGGCAACTGTCAAATCCGTGTGCTCCAATATATTAAAATGTGATGCTCACAGCAAGCATGCCATGTTGTAAATAGTAAATGAAATTTTATTATTTTGGTTCCTCATTAACAGTAACGGATGTGATTGGATGGAGTGTCTAGAAAGCTCAGACGTCCATGTAGATTATGAGTTAATATCCAAACCCAAATCCCGATATTCTATTATTCTATCCAAAATTTGGCTCATTTCAATTTCCAAGGAAACTTGATGGAGAGATAGTAGATACGGTAAATCATAGTTCCATATTACACGTGATTTTTTTTATTTTTCTTTTCTGGTTGAGGCATCTGATATTTGAGCAAAGCATAACAAGGCCAACTACACAAATTCTAATGGAGGATTGCAGGTTGAAGTTCAAGCTTTGTTTATTGTACAATTGTTGTTGGGAAATGCATTGACTTTAATACCATCTTTCTCTTCCTAATTAGCATTCAGAAACCACATTCTTAGATTGGATTGGAAACACCATATTCCAATGTATAATCTTCATCCAAAGGTTCAAGTATTCAAATCCTAATCCCATGCCATCACGGTAATTGGAAAACTCAAGTTCGATGAACAAACAGTCAATATAATTCTAGCAGTTCCAATGCTTCTTCTATTAATTTTCACTTTTCACTCTTTTTTAATTCTTAGAATCAAACTGATGCACTACATTCTGAATCTGTGTGTATATATAGCCATGCAGCCCTCCAACAAAGCCACAGAACCGAGTAATTTGCACTTTGGATTATCTTATCTCACCAAGGAAAAAAGAAACCAGAAAAACACTTTGTATTGCAAAAATGGGAGGCAGCAAAGGGTCTAATGGTAATAGTAATAGCCAGGTTGGAAATGGAAACCAAAATGCTGGTGGTGGAGGTAAGTCATCCAATGTAGGAGGAGCAAGTGGTGGTGGTGGTGGAGGCAATGCAGCAGGGAATATGAAAGCACCTGGAAGAGATTATGCAATCTCTAGGGAGAGCTTTGAATGAAGTAACTACTTACTCACTACTACTATATGAATAAAAGAGTAGTAGTCTACTATATTGCTGCTTTTGTTAATCTATCTATTTATCTATCTTTATGTAATGTCCCTATCTATGTTAATCAAAGTACCTTCATCTTGGTTTTGGGATTAATTACTAATTTCATATTGTGTTTATGCTTTCTTTCTGCCATTATTTATTTAAATTCCTTTTACTATATATGGATGATACATTCAAACTGAAAATGTTTATTATCAAAAAGTAAGCATAAGATTTCGTTCTACAACAAACAAAAACAAACAGGAAAACTTCGGACTATCCAAAATGCTGCCAAACTAAAGAGAACAATTACTTTGTCAAGTTGAAAGTACATGGCAACCTTGCCTGCACTCCATGTTGTGGCAGTTCAAAGTGACTGCAGCATTACCTGCACTCCATGTTGTGGCCGGACTGTAAGATAACGTAAGGGCAAGTGGACATAACCCGGGGCAAGGGTGAAGGCGTAGCGTTGTAGAATCATTGACAAAGCAATCTTTGCTTCAGTGGTCCCAAAGTTCAAGCCCACACAAGTTCGAGGTCCCAGTCCAAAGGGTATGAATGCACCTACATGATTGTTGGTTGCTTTGGCAACTCCTTCCGAGAATCTCTCTGGTTTGAAAAGTTGCACATCTTGTCCCCAGATTTGAGGATCATGGTGAAGTGCTACTATTGAGACAATCAATTCAAGATTACTAGGAACAATCAGCTTTCCTAGTCTAACTTCCCTTTCGACTTTCCTTATAACTGCAACAACAGGGGGATATAACCTTAGAGCCTCATTGATGATCATACTCATCTGCATGAAAATGAAAAATAGATAACTGAATCAGGATCTCAAACTTTATTGAGAACATATTTCTACCACCTAGACAAGTTTCTTACTGTTTTCAGTTTGCCAATGCCATCAAGATTTGGAGTTTGTTTGCCAAATAATTGTAGCACCTCCTTTCTTGCTTCCTCTTGCCAATCTGTATGGAGTGCCAGGAGAAAGACAGTCCAAGAAAGCAATGTATTAGTGGTTTCTTGTCCAGCAAAGTAAAACGTCTTGCACTCATCAGTTAACTCATCCACCGAAATCCTCTGGTTCTCATTGGCTTCATGATTAGCCTTCAAAAGTAATCCAAGAAAATCACTTCCAAAGCTGTCCATTTCTCCAGCCATTGTCTTCTTTTCTCTTTTCTTAGCCATCTCTATTATGGAGGCATGAATTCCTTTCTCAAGTTTGTCCGATTCAATCTCATCACTGGTTTTGAAAAACTTACTGCAACATTAAATGAAAGACTAAAACTGAGATAACAGAAGTAACTCTCCAGTTTTTTATTATTTCCTGTTCTCTTCAATTGGAGTATTAAAAGTACTATGTTACCTGATTCCAGGAACCCTGACTTTGAGAAAATTTTTTGCTATTAGGAAGCCTAACTTCATCAACATCTCAAATATGTTCTGTCCTTCTACATAGCTGCTGCCAAATGCTGTTCTGGAAATCACTTCCGACGTGAACAATCTAAACTCTTCATAAACCTCAATCTCTTTTCCTTCACAAAATGTCCACCTTTCTAGCATCGTCTCGGCACTAGCTACCATTTCTGGAATCATACTCTAGTAAAACAATAATACAATTATGCTATTAGCAGACTTTTGACTTCAATTTAATCTTTTTGTGTTTAAATATAGTTGACACAGCTATTGCTATAATACTCTTTGCTACAAAATACCAGTAGTTTAAAAAATCTTACTTTTAAACCCTCTCCATGGAAAGCATGGGTGGCCAGCTTTCGCAATTTTGCCCATTTTTCAGCTTTACTAGTTGCCACAAGGCCATCTCCCACTAGCTTCTTCACAAGGTTTGGGGGCTCTCTTTTCGGATAAGCGCTGCCTTTGTTATTCAGTATCTGTTTGCACAACTCTGGTTCTGTAATGACCAACTGAGCCTGTGAACCATGCCATTGAAGATAATTCTTACCTGTAATTGCATGCAAAAATGACCAAAAGTGATCTTGTTTAGATAGAACTAAGATTTAAATACAATAGTTAACTAATTGAGATGGCTTGTTTGTCAGTTACCATATTTCTTGGTCCACGAGTGAATGTGAGGTTGAACTACAGAAAGTATGTCGTGTGATAAAATTTGGGGTCTGTCCATGACTTCCTTTTTCATGTTGGAGATTTCTTTGGTGTTTCCATGGATGAATCTGTAAGAAGGGCCTTTGATCCCCTGCAAAGCCATCAGCTTCTGTATGCGAATCGGAGTCCACCATAGTTTGTGAAGGATCTTGATGAAAGCTAAGACAAGGAGCAGACACAGAAAGCTTGAAAGAATGATTATTAGGCCTCCCAAACTAGTCATTTTTTTGGGTGTTGTTTTTCTCTTTGGCTATCTCTATCTCTTTCTCTGAACCTAGTGAGTTTTTAAAGCTTATCTTGCTCCTGGTTGTTTAGAAAAAGTCGAGAAAAAACCAGTTTCAAATCATCTGGTCATTTGTCGACTTCTGATACATCATGGTTGTGACTTCATGTTGGAATTATCTCCCCGCTTCGTCACCAATGACATAAAGGGTCCCAAAATGGACGGCGAGTTTATTTTTTAGTGTTTCTAATGCAGCAGTTACATGATCACTTTCATATTCTGTTGGCATCTTCTAACATAAACCATTGTTTTCATCCTTACCTCGTTGCCTTTTTCTGGAACGATGCTTACAATTGCAAGCAAGCTTCAAGTTTCTTTCTACCACGCCAAATAAAAAGAAATAAACTATTGGATTATCTTAAAATGCTGCCAAACATAACACAACAATAGCTTGGTAAAGTTGATATGATAATTGACTTTATCAGTTTCACTTCATAACCAAAGGCTTTATTATGATTAATGTCTGGTTTCTAGATACTTACCTAGTGCAAGATTTAAGGAGTGTATGACCTGAACTCCACGGAGTGGGCGATTTGTTACTTGCTGAGAGGGCAAGTGGACATAGCCTGGGGAAAGGGTGAAGGAGTACCGTTGTAGACCATTGACAGAGCAATCCCACCACACAAGTTCGAGATCCTACTACTCCGAAGGGTAGGAAAGCGCCTGCGTTATTGTAGTAGCACACCTTTTTCTTTTTTTTTTTTTTTTTTTTTTTTTTTTTAAATAGTACAGTCGCGCGGTTATACTATTTAAATATACTCGAGATAAAAGGTATAGCCGCGCGGCTCTACTGGGGTCCTATTTTTTAATTTTTAAAAATAATTTTTTCCCTGATTTAAAAAGTAGCTAATGATTGAGTTCTTGACTGTCTTACTGTGTTCATATTCCAATGGAGTTTTTGAGGTTGAATTAGCAGAGCTTCGATGACGTTCAAGCTTTGTTTATTGTACAGTTGTTGGGAAATGCCTTGACTTCAATACCATCCTTTTCTTCTTAATTAGCACTCAGAAACCACATACTTGGATTGGATTGGATTGGATTGGAAACACCATATTCCAATGTATAATCTTCATCCAAAGGTTCAAGTATTCAAATCCCAATCCCATCAGGGTAATTGGAAAACTCACAGTCAATATTATTCTGGCAGTTCCAATGCTTCTTCTATTAATTTCCACTTTTGACTCTTTAAATTCTTAGAATCAAACTGATGCACTACAATTTGTGTATATATAGCCATTCATCCCTCCAAGAGAGAACCAACTGAGTAATTTGCACTTTGGATTATCTTATCTCACCAAGAAAAAAATAAACCAGAAAAACACTTCGGATTGCAAATATGGGAGGAAGCAAAGGCTCTAATATTAATAGCAATAGCCAGGTCGGAAATCAAAATGCTGGCGGGGGTAAGTCGTCCAATGTAGCAGCAAGTGGTGTTGGAGCCAATGCAGCTGGAACCATGAAAGCACCTGGAAGAGGTGATACAATCTACAGGGAGAGCTTTGAGAGCAACCCAGCTGCCTATTTCAAGGATTTGCGCAAATAGCTTGGAACTACTTACTCAGTGCTATATGAATAAAGAGTAGTAGTCTACTCTATTGCTGCTTTTGTTAATCTATCTATCTATCTATCCATCTTTATGTAATGTCCCTATGTTAATGAAAGTACCCTCATCTTGGTTTTGGGATTGATTACTAATTACATATTGTGTTTAAGCTTTCTTTCTGCCATTATTTAAATTCCTTTTACTATATATGGATGATGCATTCAGATTGAAAATGTTTATTACAATTGTAAGCATAAGATTTCATTGTACCCAAAAAAGAAGAACAAACAGGAAAACTTTGGACTGTCCAAAATGCTGCCAAACTAAAGAGAACAATCGATTGGTAAAGTTGAACGGACAATTGACAAACAAGCTCGTCTTGTCTCAAAGTGCAAGGGAACATGTCCGTTTGATACACCCTTTGCCGTTAAAGTGAGTGCAGCACTACCTGAACTCCATGTTGTGGCCGAACTGTAAGATAATGCAAGGGCAAGTGGACATAAACTGGGGAAAGGGTGAATGCGTATTGTTGTAGAATCATTGACAAAGCAATCTTCGCTTCAGTCGTTGCAAAGTTCAAGCCTACACAAGTTCGAGGTCCCAATCCAAAGGGTATGAACGCACCAACATGATTGTTGGTTGCTTTGGCAACCCCTTCTGAGAATCTCTCTGGTTTGAAAAGTTGCACATCTTGTCCCCAGATTTGAGGATCATGGTGAAGTGCTACGATTGAGACAACCAATTCAAGATTACTAGGAACAATGAGCTTTCCCAGTCTAACTTCCCTTTCTATATTCCTCATAACCCCAACAGCAGGGGGATATAACCTTAGAGCCTCATTGATGATCATACTCATCTGCATGAAAATGAAAAATAGATAACTGAATCAGGATCTCAAACTTTATTGAGAACATATTTCTGCCACCTAGACAAGTTTCTTACTGTTTTTAGTTTGCCAATGCCATCAAGATTTGGAGTCTGTTTTCCAAATAGTTGTAGCACCTCCTTTCTTGCTTC